GGGAGGGTGTTTCTTATGTTAAAGTATGCCGATATAACCCAAAACACCTATGTCCAAAGTTGAACGCTTACAGAGATAATGGTCAGAGAAGTTTGAAACTTTGATAGGTGCTACACACTTGTTGATTACCAAATACATATTAAAACTGGCAGGAATTGCTGACTGCGCGTTCTGGTATGTGAGTGTATGGGGCTAGCGTGAGTTGTTATCACCATACTCAAGGATAAACATCGATAAGACTCGTCAACTGACAGGTAAAGTGTGTGGACTTACCAGAAGACCACACTTTTCTCGGGCCATTATCTCCATAGCCATTCAACTTTGGACATAGGTGTTTTGGGTTATATCGGCACACTTTAACATAAGGAACACCCTCCCGAAGTCTGGCACATTCCTCCTCGGACACCCTCTATAATGCGGATGATAAATATCACAATGCACAAACACTTATTCATGGATATCTGCTTTCAGAGTCAAACTGCAATTTATGTCAATAAGGTGGTTTGTTGGTTCATAGAAATAATAATGTTCAGTAAGGTACTGCAATTACTTAGCATCAAATGAGATATAAAGGTAAAGCTATCCCTGTAACAGGTTGTGGAGGCCTACTGGATTGTAATATGTCAAGGCTGCCACATTTTCTAGACAGTAGGCTCACAGACAGCAGGGAGGTTGTCAGACTTACTCGCCAGCCGCCCTTTACCATCAAGAAGATTCCTGGTACTCATTTCTGTTAGAGGATGAGAGATGGTGATTATATACAGTGAACCTGTGAGGAAGCAGACAGTGGCCTCTTTCAAGATATGCACTAGTATCTGCCTGTACAGATAGGAAGATACCAAAAAAAAGTGTCAGTCTAGAAGATGATCCTATAAAGACTCAATCCAGGTACCCCAAAACAAAGCCAAAGTTCTTATGACTAACTGAAGTGGTGACACACTGCAATGCAGCTTCATTATATGTGCAACTAATCTACTCAACTCATGGCTCACAAAGTACATAACAAGAGGTGATCACAGGGTAGTGGTTAGAAATTGTGTTCTGTATTTGGTTCCCCAGTTCAAATGTCAACCAAAAGACCAAATATTCTGAGACTTCCAGGGCTTTCCTTACTTTCCTTCACATAAATGGTGGGCTATAACTTTTAAAGTATGCCATCATCACTTTGTTTCACATTCTACCCAATTTGTCATGGTTGTCTTTACCAGTTCGATATAACATTAACCAATGAACAGTAATACAGAATTTTAAATTAACCAAACCCACATAAGATAGGAACAACTTAGAAAGGACATTTGAACAAAATCAATTTACATATATATTCTCTCTAATACTGCATTTAATGACGGTATCACTGAGGGGTCAGACATATTATATGGAAGATGAAAATTACAGTCTTGCTTCGATATAGTCTAGAAAACATAAAAGTTAATGTGGCATAACTGCTACACAGACCCTGAACATATTCCTGTACATATCTGAATGTTTTTTAACAGAGTGAAGTCCATTACAAGGTAATACCATAGCTTACTATTTAAACATGGGAATGTACTTAATTTGCTTGCTTGCCCAACATTTATTACTGTACTGATGTATATCACTCTATGTATGAAGAATTGCATCATATGCTTGGAAAACACCTGGTGCCACATCCAGGGCTCTGGACTTCAAGGACAGCTGTGAAAAGAACAGTATATCAGTTCCCATGCTCACATTAGTAATCCAAGGCTGCTTTAAGTGATTTAGTATTAAATATGTCATTAACACTAGAGGAGGACCGTACAACATTAAAACTCTTTTTATTTTTTACAATTAGAAATGTAACATTTGTACTTAATGAAATGTCATGCCACATTCATGTAAGCTTAGTAAATCACGAAAAAATAATGTGAAGATCTATCAGTCAGTTTCAATAACCAACTGGACTGAAAGAGCTTTCAGACTTTATATAACATCTCACTGGGAGAAAACAGTCTCATAATATCCACACATTCAGAACTGTGGTTCCATATAAATCATTCGTTCCATGCAAATACACTCTTACAGGAAGAACAAAATGTGTTAACACAAGCAAGGGCAATTTCTACATTTATTTTGCTGTAACTGATGGATAAAGCACAGATCATCCAAGAAAAGGGAACAAGCAACATGGGGGGACAATAAATATCTTAAAACGGCAGCTATCTGAAAGACCAAGAAGACAGAAGAATAATATCAAGATGGGGTTTAGAGCAAAACGTTGTGAGGATAGGAGATGATGAACACTGATTCAAGATCATGTCCAATGACAGATACTAATATTTCACAGTGCTCAACCTTCAAATTCTGCAGCAAGAGTTAGTTTTGTGTTATACAAGGCAGTGTCTTATGAGATGGTAGTGCAAATATAAACATCAGGGTTTTGACATTGATAACAAAGCTAACCCTAAAAACAGGTACTAAAATATAAATACTGACATTATAGAGCTCATATTACCTTTTACTTCCTCATATATGTAGTGTACATGGTAAAGTACTGTAACTGTGAAAGGAATCAATTTTGAGATTTTGAGGACTTTACACATTTTGAGCCCCTGCACTCTGAATCCCATCTAGTATATGTCTATGTATGTGTGCCTTGCTAGAGCCTGAACATATTTTATTTATATTCAGAATTCAACAGTTTATCCATCACAGGTTGAATATGAACCCACTGGCTCCAAAAACAGAGACTTTCGAGATCAGTGTCTCTCAAGACAAAATGGCGTTTTTCAAATTTTGATCAAAATCTGGTAAGTTGTGGAGACAATTTCCCTAAGTAAAACTGCACACGTGGTATCTTCAGGAAAACTGTACGTGCACTTGGGGCCCAAACACAAAGTGCTGATTTTATCAAAACCTGCTTTATTTGTCAGGTGGATTTTGTTGTTTGCTATTTAGTAATAACAATGTTCTAACAAGCAATAACTGATTTTGGTTCCAAGGCAAATGTAGTTAAGGTCAGTCATATATGAGGAAGTATTTGCAATGTCTTTGTGCCTATTTTTCATCCTCTAATTTCAAAGCATCTATACCATGCAATCAATATATATATGACCATTAACTTACTGTAATGTTTGGATTGCCAGGCTGAATTTTTAATTCATTCAGAACCCATATTCCATTTGTTAGTTTCAAAGACTGGTACAGCATATCTTGGCCCTCTACATTACGTTTTGCAATCGTAAATACATTGTTCTGTTGCATCTTCTGCACTACAGCATCTATTTGAAACAAGAAATCAATGAACACTTTTTAGGGGAGCGTGTGTACATTTCTTTGCATGTATGCATGCACTTGAATGTCATGTATGTGTGTGTGTGTGTGTGTGTGTGAGAGAGAGAGAGAGAGAGAGAGGTCAGCAACCCATATTAATCTACTTTCCTCATACAGAAATATTAAGAATTTATAAAGGCAAGACTGGCATGGTCCAGCGTGAGAATTGCTGGGCCAGCTCGTACCATCTGCTTAAACCTTCTAACAGCAAAGATATTTGTGACACCAATCAGTATTCACTGTTGAACATTACTTTCCATATAGTTTAATTATAAACATGAAAAAATGTAAACTTATTTAATATTGTGAGCTTCTGGGTTATGAATGACTCAGAGGAACCTCCCCCTCCACCTTCAGTGTAAAAGTACTATTGGCATTTGAACTGTGAGACAGGAAAACTATGAAAACTCTCAGTCAGGAGAGCCAGCAACCAACAAAGTTTTATCCTGATGATTACATTCAGTTTATCCAGATGAATATCTCATTACTTACTCACAACCTTCATTTGTATGAGTATTAATATTAATTATCATTTTATCAGTCACAATGATATTTCCTGTATAGATACAAGTCCATGATATTTTAAAATACAGATATACATGTGATATTTAATTATATTTGGTGTAAATTATTATCCAAGTAGTGTAGGTAAAACACTGATAAGCAAATACAGATTTAGTATTACTACTATATCTCACACTATCCCAGGCCACATTTGCAACATGCAGGACTGAACTGCTGACATATGTACTTTGTTGGCTTACTGTATGTGCCCAAAAGAAATTGGCATTTTATTCTTCCGACTATTTCCAAAATTTCCCATGTCTTTAGACAGGTGTCCAGTTATATTTAGAAATACATCTATTTGTACTCATTTCAAGAAAACTGAACTTTGCAGTTTCAGAATAATGCAAACTCTTCAGACATTCAGCCTAGACTGTGACATGTTGAGAACAATACCTGCATTGCACTGAATGTTAGCCAACGTGTACTGAACTTCATTTTGAGCAGGAATATCCTTCCATGTTGCTAGAAAAACTCTCTTGTCCATCTGTCCATCTTCAGTAAAGAAAACATTCACTGGGACTAGACAAGCAAAGTAGAATACATCAATGTTGTTTTTGATGGCAACCTGCATCAAAGGAAATACCAAAAACATTCCACTAAATAAATATGGTAGTTCAAAACACTTCTAGCCCATCTGGAAAACAGAAATGGAACTAAAGTGAATGCAACGTAAATTATGTGGATTCAAAAACCTTAGGTTTAAGGAACAGAAAAATAGAGTGAAACGACTGTCTTGTGTCTATCCTTTTCAAATTCTGAACCAGTTCACCAATATCATGAAACTGAGTATTGTGATACTACACCATAAAGGAATACCTCCAATGCATATGCTTTTAGTTTATTACAAACAGTAACAAGGACATGACAGATGTACAAGCTTCTGAGGTGGGGGTGACATTACTGACACTTAATGTTAACAGGCAGGGTCCTGAATTTATGGTAACAGATCTTCAAGAGTATGTCATTTTTCTTAAGTTTCTTTGGGGGGGGGGTGGAATGAACAACAAGGTGACTTTCGAAATACTGAAGTTAGAACTCACTTCCAGCTGGTGCCCATGTCAAGAAAATGTGGATCTATACATCCACTCCTCCATGTGCCTTCATAGCGAATCGCTTATTTTTTTGAGCACAGGGACAACTTTACCTTTTTACATTTTACTGGAGTTAGGATTATGAAATTTGGCATGAAGATAGATTACATATATACCTAAAAATTATGCATGAGGTACTGTTTATAAATCAAGAATTATAAACATGCCCATAGTGCAAATCTTTGGAGTCCTGTTTGACAAATTTAACATAAAAATTGGTACCAAAGTAACAGGATCTCCCCCCAGAAATATGATGATGATAATCTGTGTATAAAAAGTGTGGGATACAATTCAGTGACCATTTGCCTACATGCTCAACATGTTAACTCATCAGCTAAACTGTACCTCATTGTTGGATTATAAACTTACATTACTCAAATTAAATATTAATATGAGCTGTGCTCAAAATTCCTTGTTTATATCTATGTAAATGGTAATTAATTTTGAAATTTAACATTTATAATTAATGAACACTTCAGAAGTTGCCTTGGAACTTCGATATCAATTTGAAAGAAATAGTACTTTAAATATATCCAATAAAATACAAATTCTGAACATCACAACATTATATAAAACCTTCTTGTCATATAACACATCCTATACTACTTTCTCTGTCAAACATTAATTCCAATGACACAAAAGATTCTAAATATTCTGGTACCTGAAGGTTGTTAAGAGGTTCCATACGTTGGATAGCACCTGTAGTTGCCAAAGGCAATGAACAATCATGTGACATGCTAGGAGGCAGTGGTGTCATCACTTGCAATGCTGAGCTTGGTGTCAAGCCAAAGCTGAAAAAGAATTCAGGCATGACATGGAACTTAATCATTAGAGAAAAGTTAGAAAATGGTCAAGTGTGTACAGTGCTGATGCTCACCTGTTCTTGTTCAACTGAATAGCAAATCCGGCCATTGCCTGCATGGCTTTATTGGTGAATGTGAAGTCCATCTGGATTTGACCGTTTCTGTGAATTTACAATCAACAATGATGCAACATTAAATTACACTAATCAGCAAGGGTATGGTAACATAAATGAAAACAAGCTTCTCAAATTAATTCTGATATGCTGATACAAATTGGGACATAAATTTTGACACTGTGTCACAGTTCTGTATATTAAATTTTATGCCAAATGACATCATTTTTCCACTTTTGTACTTCCTTCTTACATTTCTTATCATTTTTCAACTATAATGTACGAATAACATGTCTTGTTAGTGAGTGAAAATTTATTGTCATTTCAACACTATTACTTCAAATTGCATGACAAGTGGTATGTACATTCATGTGTCTTGCAGAAAAAGATAAAAAAACTGATGTTAAAAATTCCTGACTGTCATTTTTTGATCAACATACCACATTTATTAAAAAAATAGCTTATTTCATATGTTATCCATGATGTTATACATATGCTATCTCTGACAAATTTAACATATGTATAACATAATTTTTTGTATTAGGGCTCTTCAGTACTTCACACTGTTAACCTTTTTAATTAATACAATAATAAAGTAATCATTTTGTGAACATTTTGAACACTTCATGCAGTACACACCAGTGTATGACGAATTTAAATATCAGAAATGAACTCAGAGCATTGGACTTTCACTGTCAAAGATGAGATGAGAATTATACCTTCGTGAGAATGTTCCCCATATATCCAGTCCTTTTCCTTTTTCGGCGGGCAGCCAGTTAGATTTTGGAGGTGAGTATGATGCAGGAGTAGCTGAAAATCCAAAGATGTCTCCCAGAAGTCCTGTAGTTGACTGTGACACAGGGGCTGACCCAGCAGTTCCTGTTGCAGCAACATCTCCACCAAGCTACAGGAAAAATTTGCATATATTACTATTCAGTTACAGGATGCCATAAAACATTTACTCCCCTGGTTTTGTCTGATAATTATCCTATCCAGAATGGTCTAAAAAAGAGGAGATGCTTTATCACCACTGCTTTTCAACTTTGCTTTATAATATGCCATTAGGAAGATCCACGAAAACCAGGTGGGACTAAAATTAAATGGGACACATCAGCTCCTGGTTTATGCTGATGATGTGAATCTACTGGGTGATAACATAGGTACCATAAGGAAAAACACATAAACTTTAACTGACACTAGTAAGGAGGTTGGTCTAGAAGTAAACACGAAGAAAACTAAGTATATGTTGCTGTCTCATCAGCAAAATGCAGGGAGAAATCATGACATAAAGAAAGGTAAGAGATGTTTAAAAAATGTGGCACAGTTCACATATTTGGGTACAATTATAACAAATCGAAACCTGATTCAGGAGGAAATTAAGAGGTGACTGAACTTGGATAATGCCTGCTACCATTCAGTCCAGAACCTTTTGTCTTCTCGTCTGCGGTCTAAGTATATAAAACTATAATTTTACCTGTGGTTCTGTACTGGTGTGAAACTTGGTCTGTGACATTAAGGGAGGAACACATACTGAGGGTGTCTGAGAACAGGGTGTTGAAGAGAATATTTGGACCTAAGAGATATGAAGTGATGGAAGGTTGGAGAAAACTGCATAATGAAGAGCTTTATAACTTGTACTCTTCTCCAAGTATAATTAGAATAATCAAGTCAAGGATGGGCAGGGCATGTAGCATGAATGTGGAGAAGATGAATGCATATAGGATATTGGTGGGAAAGCCAGAAGGAAAGAGACGACTAGGAAGACCAAGATGTAGATGGGTGAACAATATTAAAATTGATCTTAAAGAGAGATAAGATGGGATCATATGGATTGGATTGATCTGGCTCATGACAAGGACCAGTGGAGGGTTCTTGTGAACATGGTAATGAACCTTCGGGTTCCATAAAATGCTGGGAAGTTCTTGAGTAGCTGCATAATTGGCGGCTTCTGAAGAAGGCCTCATTTCTGTGTGCGAGTGGTTTCTAAGGCATGCCAAACACCAGGGACTAAGATTTATTTCATGCTAGCATATCATTCCAACAAATATCATATGGATCTAAATTACATAATTCAAAACTGGTGCAATGCCTTAACATTTTCACACTCCCTTCACACCTCTATGGTAGCAACTACCATTGATAACTGACTCCATTCTATTCACTACATAACTTAAAAATTTCACAAGCATAAAGTATGATATCACAGAAAATATGACACGTTTTAAAACCAACCAAACGTATGTATGCATGTGCATCATGACCAAAAGCAAAACCAGAAAATGTGTATATCTGCTTACTGCACTGTCCCCACTTTCAAATACATATAAATTTGCATGCATCTCATGAACAGGTTAAGAATATTAGATAAAACTAACCAAACTGTCAAGACCTCCACCTAAAAGGTCAACAGCAGGTGGAGAGAAGACACTAGTTGTGGCTGGTACTGGGACAGATGGAGCACTGATGTCCATGCTGAGTAAGTCGCCAATAAGCGAATCTTGAGCTGGGATAACTGCCGGTGGGTCAGTTACCCCAGAGGCAGTCTCCAGTACTGTCTCTTGAGAACCAGCTCTATAATGCATAAGTACAATATATGAATTTTATGGGTGATACATATGACAAAATACATAAAATATATGACCATAAAGATAAAGAGAAGGACTAAAAAGGTCACTCTTCACAGCTTTGCTGACATCAGGATATCATTGTTCTCAATGTTCATGCCCCAAGAGAGGATAAAAATGATGTAAAGGACAGGTTCTACAAAGAACTAGAATGTGTATTTGATAAATTCCTTAAATACCATATGAAAATTTTGTTAGGAGATTTCAATGCCAAAGTAGGTAGAAAAGGTATTTTCAAACCAACAATTTTGAGTGAGAGTTTTCATGAAATAAGTAATAATAATGGAGCTAGAGTAGTAAACTTTGTCACATCAAAAAATCATATGGTCAGAAGTACAATGTTCCCACATCGTAACATTCATAAATGTAGAAAGTCGTCTTCTGGGTTTAGGCGCCATGTATTCTTCGTTTTGGCTGACGTTTCAGAGGAATGAAGAATACACGGCACCTAAACCCAGAAGACGACTTTTTTCATAGTCATCGCCGTGAAAACCTCAAAACTTACATTCATAAATGTACTTGGACATCTCCTGATGGGAAGACAAGCAATCAAATTGATTATATTTTGATAGACAGGATATGGCATTCAAGTATACCTGATGTCCGATCATTCAGGGCAGCAGATAGTGATACTGCCCACTAACTGGCGGTGGCAAAGGTTAGGGAAAGACTGGCAGTGAGTAAGCAAACAATGCACAGAGTTCATATGGAGAGGTTCAATCTCAAGAAATTAAAGGAGGTAGAGGGTAAGGAGCAGTATTGTGTTGAAATCTTAAATAGGTTCACAGCTTTGGATGACTTGGACACTGTAGTGGATGTTAATAAAGCTTGGGAAACTATTAGAGAGAATTTAAAAAAATTTCAGCCAAAGAGAGTCTAGATTATTATGAATTTAAGAAGCATAAGGCATGGTTTGACAAAGGATGCTTAAAATTATTAATCACAGGAATCAAGCCAAACTGTAGTCGTTACATGATCCAAGCGAGTTAAAAGGGGATAATCTGAACAATATAAGATGTGAAGCCTGCAGGCATTTCAGGAATAAAAAGAGGGAATATCTGCAAGACAAAACTGATGAGGTGCAATGAACAGTCAGAACAAGAACATTAAAGACCTATACACAGGAATAAATGAATTTAAGTTGGGTTACCAACCTAGAAGTAACTTAATGAAGATAAGAATGGTGACCTGCTTGCAGATTCCCACAACATTTTATCAGGTGCAAGAACTACTTCTGTCAGTTATTGAATGTACATAGTGTCAGTGATGTTAGGCAGGTAGAAATATATACAGCTGAGCTGTTAGTACCTGATCCTAGTCCTTTTGAGGTTGAATTTGCTATTGCAAATTTGGAAAAGTATAACTCAGCAGCAGAACTGATTCAAGCAGGAGGTGTAATATTAACTGTATCTGGAATAAGAAAAAACTGCCTGAACAGTGGGAGGGAGTCTATTATTGTACCAGTTCACAAGAAGGGTGATAAAACTGGCTGCAGTAGTTATTGTGGTATATCACTGATAACTGATAAACTTCATACAAAATTTTATTCAATATCATTCTCTCAAGGTCAAGTCCATATATATAAAAGTAAAGTAAAAAGTAAAGCTATCCCTGTAACAGGCCCTGAAGGCCCATAGAGTTGCAAGATGTTGAGGGTACCACATTATCTAGACAATCGGCTCAAAGATGGCGGTAAGGTTGTCAGCCTTACGCTCCGGCCGCGCTTTACTCCCCAGGAAAATTATTTAACCCGTTGCCGTGGTTCGTCGTGTATGTTTCNAGTTATTGTGGTATATCACTGATAACTGATAAACTTCATACAAAATTTTATTCAATATCATTCTCTCAAGGTCAAGTCCATATATATAAAAGTAAAGTAAAAAGTAAAGCTATCCCTGTAACAGGCCCTGAAGGCCCATAGAGTTGCAAGATGTTGAGGGTACCACATTATCTAGACAATCGGCTCAAAGATGGCGGTAAGGTTGTCAGCCTTACGCTCCGGCCGCGCTTTACTCCCCAGGAGAATTATTTAATTAATTCCTGGTACTTATTTCTGTTAGAGGCTGAGTCGACCCCAAGGCCATAGTGCGACTGGAAGGATTAGATCAACTGAAAAAAATCCAATGACCTCATCGGGACTTGAACCTGAACTACAAAATGCTGGGAAGTTCTTGAGTAGCTGCACTGTTGGTGGCTTCTCAGGAATGGCTCAGCTCCATGAAGTTAGTTTAACACATGAATAGATGATGTGATGGCAACACACTCAAAGCCATAACACATAATATGGTAGTATAAAAATGTAATTCAAGCTACACCAGACAGTACAAAACTTCAACATAAATTATGTGACAGTGTTGAAGTAAGTAAATTCACCATATTTCTGCATAGCAAGTAGTGGACAAGTATGTACTTCACTCACACTATTATATTAAATATTTCATTATCAAATTGAATTACCGTGTACAGGGATTGAAAAACATGGTCATCTGGTTGCCAATGGTAACCACAATGTTTTGCCTGGCAAATAATAACCTCTTCAGCAACTGTGAGTTGGGATTATTCAGCTTCACGTTCTCAGTCAGTCATTTATGGCATATAAGAAATGATAACCCACGCCAAAAGATGTTAAGATCAACATAACCCCATAAAATTAATCTTTCATTTAAAATTGAGCTTTTCTGTCATTATCTCATGCATGGTCTGCAGGTATTAGGGCAAAAATTACAAAGGGAAAATATGAATTTTCTGTGCTGATCAGAGGTAAGAGCCACAGCAAGGTGGCAGAAAATAGTGAACCTCCCATTCCTAGCAACCAGATAAAAAGAAATGTTACCCCTGTCTGTGTGAATGGACTTTGAGTTTGCCAAGGGCTAAAATATATAAAGGGAACTAAAAGCAGTAAATGGTGGTTCAATATCATCACTGAAACTCTTACCAGTGGTATGGGATAACTTACCTGGCTGGCAGCATTTTGCGTACCCCTGCTCCTCTTCCTTCCACAAATGCATTGGGTGGTTTATGATACACAGAAGCAAGACTAGAAATATGACATATCAGCTCATCAAGTAGTGTTGGTTCCAAAAGATCTGTCTCTTCAGAGATCAGAGGTTTCTCTGCCAGAACAACTTCCTTAGCTGCAGCTGGGTCAGTGGAAAGAAGACGCCAATAAATGAAACCTCGATCACGTAAGTCTGGGTTGTCTGAGTCCTGAGTCGCCAAGCTCAGAACCTGCTGAACCAATTCCTGTGTATCTGTTGGCCTCTTCAGAAATAATTTGACAATGGCTGTAAGTAACTGGAGTTGAACCTGTGTGTTCTCATCATGGAAGCCTTCTAAGAAGCTCTCTAAGAGTTCATCAGCATTATCAATTCTTTCTGCATATTCTCCAATAATCCAGATCATTGATGCCCTAGGATAGAGGTACAAAAAATATAACAAACCATACAGAAAAGCTGGATTCATGCAATTTTCACAGGAAAGTTATCACTTCTGTCTTAACTGATATTTTCTTGGCTTCTCTGTTATACATAATACAGGTATATAACGAATTTTCATATCCTCCATACAAAATTCTGTTCTCTCATCTATCTCTGATGGTAATCATCAAGAGTGTGTTCAAATGCCAACAAGTAGGGTCATGAAAAATTAAGGAAACTGTGAGGCCATAAGAAATGGTATTATCAATTTCATTCTTTGACCTAACAATACCATATTGCAAAAAGAGATGCAATTGATTCAAATATAAACTACCTAATAACAAACTGTTTAACATGGAGACAAGGAATTTATTCCACAGCCTAAGCATTCTACACCTTACCTGGCCTCAGGTTCATCAAGCGTGTCTAAATTCTCACAAAGCGTGGAGATTATGCTCTCATACTTGTTGGGATACTTTCGGAATATGTCCTTGATCACTACAATAGCCTCCTGTACAACGTAGTTTACCTAAACATCAAACAGATGATCATTTAACACTTTTAAACACTGCATCAAAATTAAAGTATGCTGAATTTTGAAAAATGTCTGTTCATATCTTTGTCCTTTTAAATTTCAGCACTCTAACACTTTCATTTTCCATTTTTCGCCACACACATAAGTGAATCAGTCATGGAGAAGCAGTGGTGGTGTGTGTACACTTGTGAGAGAGTGAGGGACAGCATGTTGCCTGCCTGTGTGTGCCTCTTATTCAACTCCTCTCCCTTTAGACCATTCAGAGAGTGATAAAGGCCATGCTGCTTGCGCAAACATGACAACATTCTTAAAGCCAATCTCTGACATGATGTACTCATAACAGTCACTGAGAGCCTTAAGAGAGGATAGTTTTAGTTGAGTACAGAAGGCAGTGTAAAGCAGACATGAAGCAGTGACTGCTAGGAATCAAGAGTTAGTCAGTACAGTCCAGAAGCAAGTCAGTTTAGGGTATAAGTCAGTTGGCAGTTCAGCTGAGTGCAGAAGATCAGAAGTTAGTTCAATGCAAGCAGATGGAAAATTCAAGAAGGGGACGGTGCAACGACTGAACAGTGGTATTACAGTGACAAAGCAAGTGGACAAAAAAGTGACACCAAGATTATAAGTGGCTAATGACAGTCAGACAGTAACTGTTCAAAATAATGATAAACATTACAATATGTTACATTGTAAGATAAAGAATCTGAGCTGTTAGTGAACACAAGAAACCTGATGAAAATGACAACTCTCTCTCCCCCCTTTACAAAGTCCAATCCCAAATGAGTGAACTTCAAGCACAAATATTTTTTTAAATACTATGGATGAATTTAATGTAATCTTTGATAAAAATGCACACCACATAACACAACTTTATACAACAGAAATTATCAGTATCATACAAATTACAATATAAAGTTAAAGAGCATGTCTTCTCAGTCTTCTTACAATCCTAAGATATGTGAAATGGAAATACAAATTCACAGATGGAGGAAACAAGCTTTTAATATTGTATGTTCCAGATCTGTGTGCACAGAAATGCAAATATTTCATCAAGATGTCACAGAAAACAATATTAAAGATAACGATAATTTTTTGTCTCTTTCTTTTAGAAGTAAATAAAGCAGTGTGTGGTATCTAAAGGCTATTCAACATCAGGTCATTCTTCCTGTGGTCCACATGTGCGCGCGCGCACGCACACACACACATGGTAATTTGATCCTGAGAGTTATGTTGGCAGTGAAATAGCTACTGGTAGGTTCTCCCATGCTGGACAGGTCATAGGTGATGATCCAGCCAAAAAGGGATACCCTGGTCCTCCAGGTGGAGGGTTGGCTATAGGGTTGACAACCCCACCCCATATAAAGCTTTAATTGTTGAGAAGCTTTTAAAAATTGCAGCTGGATAGAAACACCTGAATGTAAATGAAAGTCACAGGATTGGGACCAATGGCAAGCAATTGTAAAAGGGGTCAAGGCTCATCATGAACTGTAATGCAGGAGGTGGAGGAGAATGTAATTAAATTCTGTAAAATTATATCAGTGAAGGAAATTCAGGGCATCTCACTTATCATTACTGCCATTCTTAGGTACATTATAAAGCACAGTTACAAGGAGTTGATCCTATTTTTCCAAAATAAGGGTATTATTCCATTACAAGTCACTGCTACTGACAAACTCTTTTATTCGATGACACATTTCCTTAGCACAGAATAGTGCACATCTCCATACAGGAGTGGTTTACATGCAAGAAAATGTCAAACGAGGAATGGCATGAGCAGCGACATGATTATTCAGTTAATATGTACCCATCCTAGTAACACCAATACATTCTACATCAATTCTTTTATGATCAGGTAAACACAGTCACCCATAGTTATAAAATTTATGACACAGACACAAATATATAACAAACCTTTGTTTGAATTAGATCTAACAGTGTAGACACACATCGTTCTGCTGACTGTTCTACTTTAATAGCGCATCTGCCAATGGCTCGAACAGCTTTTCGTACAAAGTCCACATCTACTTCTGTGGCATACCTGGAAAGTAAGTTACAAACTCACACTTCATAGTCTTATTCAATTTATGGACTTTTTTAAACAGAAAACTAGAGGTTTTAAGATGTATAGATATTAAGCTCAATTACATAATTCCTTCTGCATAAGCTTTAGAATGCTATGTGCACATTCTGTGAAATTTTTCACTCTTGAACAGTCTACTGCTTGTGTATCATTTACTTGAATATTAGCAGAGGTTTCATCAGACAGTATACAAACATTTCAAGAACAAATTTGTCACTTCAAGTTTCCATATTAAAGTTACATTTAAGTCTTCATTCCCTGGTTTGTTCTATTCGGTTATTTCACGATGCTGTGTTAAAGTAACAATGAAAGAGAAATGGCAGGACAATTATGAATGAGAAATGGGAGGGATGTGAAAGGAAGAGTTCCTGGTCTGCTTTATTGAACTATTCCAAAATTTAGCTTGGACTGCAGGATACCAACGCTTCCTCAATAACAAAAAAAAAAAAATGATAAAATAAAATAAAACAAACAATAAGAAATAACAGAATACAACGGTTAATGGTACAAAATGAAATCCTCTGTTGCTACAGTAATAGAAAACGCCAAAATGGAAATTGACTCAATTTGAATCACTTAGGTAGAAGCATTCTTGAAACTCCTAAGTACAGAAAAGTGACAGGTTATTATGAAATTTATAAACTGATTAAATATTTAAATATCACATATGAGAAAACATTATCTTACATGGGTATTAAAGGTCAGAAAAACACACTAGTATGAGACACAAGAATAATTTAACATACAGTGTCCAGATTCTGTTAGGACTGTGTCCATTAAAAATACAAGACATGAATTATTTTCAAAATTTCACTCTTTTTATTCAAAATAGTCTCCTTCTGAATCAATACATAGCTGGAATCGATTGAAAAGTTTTCAAAAGCAGTACTCCTTTTGTGGAATCACATTTAAAACTGTGATACATTCCCTTTGGATATCCTGGATGGTGTGGTCTGTCTCCTTTCATTGCCAACTTAACTTTTGGGAACAACCAGAAACCTGCTGGAGCCAAATCTGGTGAATACGGAGGATGATCAAGGACTGTGATCCCTTTTCTGGCCAAAAAATCGCACACGATCTTCGATTTGTGGGGTGGGGCATTGTCATGGAGGAGCAACCAGGAACCTTGCGCTCAATATTCAGGTCGAATTCGAAGAATTCTCACGCACAAACGATTGAGGACTCCAAGATAATAATCAGAATTCACTTTTTGACCTTCTGGCAGAAATTCCTTGTGAATGATTCCTTTGGAATCGAAGAAAACGGTTAGCAGTGTCTTTATTCGACTCTTTTGCATGCACACTTTCTTTGGTTTCGGCTTCTCGGCTCAACCATGCTGCACTCTGCCGCTTTGTGAGAGGCTCATATTGAAAACACCATGACTTGTCACCAGTAACAATTGGATTTTGTAAATTTTGTATCACTTTGGGCTGACCGTAAAATGTCTCTGCAGTGTTCCACTCTGGCATGTTTTACATCGCTTGACAGCACGTGCAGTATAAACCGCGCACAGACCTTCAGTTTGCCCAATTCCTCTGTCAAAATTTGATGCACAGTACTTCTTGGTATTCCCAAAAGCTCCTCGATGAGTCTTGCAGAAACACATCTCTCTGATGCAAGGATTTCGGTCACTTCTTTCACATTTTCTTCAGTGCGACTTGTTCTCGGCTTTGATGCACGTAGAGCGTCTTCAATGTCCTCCCTGCCATCACAAAATACAGCATACCATCGAAAAATGTTTGAGCGACTCAAACAAACACTACTGTACACACTTTTCTTCATTTCGTACGCTTCTCCAGCTGTTTTGCCTAACTTCAAACAAAATTTGATGTCTGGTCTCTGTTCAACCGCCATTTTCCGAGGAGCGTCAGAACAGTACCGTTACTTTCAAGGTCAGAGCACACGATGCAGCGATGTTTGTGCTTTAAAATTACAGACAGCCAGAGCTGAAACTTCAAGAATCTTGACGCCATAACTCGCCAACAGATGGCATTAGAGGGCAAAATTTAAAAAAATTAGTCCAAACGGATCCTGGACACACCTTGTATTTAAGGTTTAGCGTGATTTTCCTCAGTCACTCTAGTAAAATGCTGGGATAGTACTGAAAACTGTGCCATGCCCACTTCTATCCACATCCCTTCCAATTCATTATTTAATAAAATCACATTACCACTGGACACTATTTTCTGTAAGACATAACTTCATTAAATGACCATAAATATAAATAATAATGAAACAAAGTTGTGGAAGAAATCATTCATGACTGAAATTAAGACAGATCTAATTTTCTGGCATTTTCTTGGAGGAAAGACATGAAAAACCTCAGTCAGGACAACTAAACTCCAGGCTAAGAAACCAGGGCCTCCAAATATAAAAGAAATATGCTAAACATCTGACCATGACATTCAGTCTATAGTAGTAAAATAAGAAAACTATTATACAAAGTGATCCAAATATAACACTGCACATATGACCTTCACATAGAGGTCTTGAAACGGGCCACATAGAGTAAATCTACTACATGTGATCACTATTAAGTATCGTAATGTAACAATCAGCTGATATCTTCCTATTAAATTGACATTAATATGAACTTTGTTCTAGGCTCCTCAAAACTATGGTAATACAAAAAAATAGCAACTTACTCTTTGAGTTCTGACAGAACTTGTGCAATGTTAGCCTGAGATGCAAGACGGATCATAATGTCCAGTTTTTCAAGCTTCACATATATGGGATCATTGTACTTGACAAAGAACACCTTCATCTCATGCTTCAGGATGTCTGGTCGCTTCTGAACAATGAGGTTAATATTGCGAAGTGCCACATACTGTACCTGTACAGAAGTTTAAGAAATTTAAAACCTTACACATACACACCACCTACCTTACTTCGTGGAACTGAGCCAATTGTGCTGCCACTCAAGAACTCTCATCATTTTATGGAATCTGAAGGTTCATTACTGTGTTCACAAGGACCATCCACTGGCCCCTAACCTAAGCAGGATCAATCCAATCCATACCAACTCATCCTATCTGTCTAAGATCCAGTTTAATATTGTCCATACACCTACATCTTGGTCTTCCTAGAGGTCTCTTTTCTTCTGGCTATCCCACTAATTTCCTATATGCATTCCTCTTCCCCCCATTTGTACCACATGCCCTGCCCATCTCATCCTCCTTGACTTGATCATTCTAAATATATCTGGTGAAGAGTACAAGTTATGAAGCTCCTCATTATGCAGTTTCTTCCAAACTCCTGTCACCTCATCTCTTCAATCAAAATATTCTCCTCAGCACCTTGCTCTCAAACACCCTCCATCAATGTTACTCCCTTAATGTCAGAGACCAAGTTTCACACCCATACAGAACTACAGGCAAAATTATATTCTTGTATATTCTAATTTACATTACTACACTTAGAAATATAAATCACTTAATCCTTCTGATGCCAGAAAGGAGGCATTAAGTCTGCAGCATCTTTCCTGCAGCAGAAAATATTTCATTACTTGCTCATATTCTGTTACATATGTACATACACGAAATGCATAAAACTAATGCACACTGGGAGATCATATCTGTTCATCTACTTATTTCATTAATGAAAATTAGTAAATGGATTTTAGTTAAATCTGATACCAGGGACACTAAATGTTATCAAGTGACTTTAATTTGGTTTGAATCAGTCAATTAGAATCCAATCAACTTAGGGCTTTGGACTACTAGTGGAAATGAAAAACCTGTTTAATGCATTACAAATAAAACTCATCCAGATTATAGCAAATGATGGAAATGTTCTCTATTGTTGCAAAGGCTACTCAAGGACAGCACTGATTCACTGATTTCATTGTTTGTGTGTGTGTGTGTGTGTGTGTGTGTGTGCGCACGCACACATGCAAGGGGGAATGGAAGGGAAAATTGGGGCACCAAGTGCTCACCAAAGAGAAACTGGATGAAATCAATGCTAGGATTGAACATTCACTTCAAAAATCCCTGACACCTTGTAGAGGAGACTAAGGTTTTATGTTTCAAGTTTCATAATTTTATACTGGACTTTAAAACTGCACGACTTACAGTTACCATATGAAACAAATCTAAATACAAGAATTAATCATGTGTGAAGATTTCAAATGAACTGTACATTCTTGGGGCTCAGAAGATAAAATAAGATTTAGTAAAAGGTAAAGCTGTCCCTGTGCTTAACTAATTAAGCACTACTCCATGAAGGCGTATGAGGGCTTGGATGTATAGATCCACATTTTCTTGACCCCAGCACTAGTTGGAGGTGAGTGGTCAGCTTCACGCCCCGGCCACTTTACTCCTGAGAAAGAGCTCCCAGTATCCTTTGTACAGAAGGTTGGGTGGAGACCATAGCCAGTCTGGACGACATAAAGAAGTGAAAATTCTTGACCATACTGGGTCTCCAACTCCGACCATTCGGTTGTCCAGCCCATGGCCAGTGGCTATACTGACTGTGCTATCCTGGCTCCTAATAATAACTGGTAAATTGAGTTTATTGTTTTGACAAAATTATGTTCAAATCCAGTATTCATTAAGCTTGTAGACTAACATAAGGCATGGGATTTCTCATGCTTCCCATGCTAATGAAAGGCAGAAAATTATCTCTGTACTAAATTTCCTGCAATTCAGCAAGATTTTAAAATAAATGGAATAACTGTTAAAAAATTATTAAACAGTCAGTATTAGTACAATAATTGTGTTTCTGGATATTATTCATCATCCTGTTCCCTATATAAAACACGTATCAGAGACTGGATTCTGTCTCCATCTTTTGCTAAAATGGGAGATGGGGACTAGCTCTACTGATTGAGCAACAATGAGTAGATTTTACCTGAAGATGGAGATAAAATCCAGTGTCTGAAATGTTATTTTTATAAAAAAATAGGGACATTGATATTATCAAGAAACACAGTAACTGCATTAATATACCATCGTCAAAATGAGATCTTAATTAGTATTAAAATCTTCATTTTATGATAGACATTTTTCAAGATAGATATATGCATTCTATAAGGAAACACAAAAACAAATAAAGTTAATACTTAAATTATTAAATACAAATATTCAACAGCAAGAAACTTACCTCAGGTTCTGATGATAAGAGAGTGACGAGAGGTGGTGCCAGCTTCTTAGTTAAAGTTGATACAAAGTCTGAGTCCGCAGGCAGCATCTCCATCAGCTTCATTAGTACTTTCACAGCAGACAGCACTACTGCAGCATTGGCGTGTGCCAGGCGAGGAGTGATTCTTTCACAAATGCTGCAAACATATTGCTAAATATATTGCATCCCAACTTAATTCTTTGATTATCTACCAGTTTTTCAACTGAAGGCATTAGAGGGTGTCCAAATGAAAAGTATCCAAAATAAAATAATATCTCAGAGAGCACTTATTAAACACATTTATGGGTTACACCATTACAAAAGGAAACTATCAAAGATTTTTCCTCAGTATATAACTCTCTCAATAAATTTCTATGTGGGCTACCTTGGTGGTACGACAAATATCCAGATGATATTTGACCTCATTCCACAATGCTTGAAGCATGTCTGGTGTTACCATAGCCACAGCATCCCTTACGCAGGCTTTCAGGTGTAGTAGGTCATTGATCTTTACCTGTTAGACAACATTCTTCACATAACACTTCAAGAAAAAATCCAATAGGGTTAAATCTGGTGACCTAGGAGGCCAAGTGTTTGGTCCATCTCTGCCAATCCATCTCCCAGCCATCTCTCTGTCCAGGTGATTCCTAACATGGTGCCAGAAATGTGATTGTGCCCCATCTTGTTGCAGGATAGTTTTAGGTGGTAATTGGGGCAGCGCATACAGCTCAACCACGTCAAAGTATGAACGACTGGTCACAGTCTTTTCCAAAAAGAAAAACTGTCCAATAAACTTGTCGTGCATTAAGCTGGCTCACATGTTCACTTTGGGGCTGCCTGTCTCCAGCTCACATGTGACATGGGGATTTTGACTGCCACAAATCCTGCAGTTGTACCTGTTTACAACTCCACTAACATGGAATGCTGCCTTGACCGAGAAGCACATTTGGTGGAGGAAATCGAGTGATGCTTCAGTTCTTTCTAGCATGTACACAGCGAAGTCTGTGCATGCTACTTGGTCACTCGGTTTTAGTGTATGATTCATTTGAATCTTGTACATTCTTGGGTGGAGCCTTTTGTGTAGCACATCGTGCAATGTTGAATGTGGAATTTGTATGTAACTGCAAGCTAGCAGCATGAATTGATTTGTGCAGACTACGCTGGAATTCCTTTCTAATGGGATTGACATTTTCTTCAAAGGTCCACGTCTTTTCAGGAGATTTTACATGCAAAAGACTACCTGTAGCCCTCAGTTTGTTGTCCCAGAACCGAATGCTTTTTTGTGTAGGAGGCTGACATCCATACTGTGTTCTAACAGTCATAAGAGATTGCAACTCTGCTAGCTACATATGCTGAACCTGTTCCTGTGGTGTTGACATCATTACTGAGCTCAGCGAAGTCACCAGCTGGCACATGCATGTAAGCTGGGCATGAAAAAAAAAATTCAGAGTTTTCCTTTCCGATGACAAAAACTGGATACGTGTATGACAAATAGTTTCTGAGATATAAATTTTTTATTTTGGATACCTTTCATCCGGACACCCTGCATATAGCATCAAATGACAGGAGGAGTTCTTTGTGAGTGGCAAGCAAGTAATGATTTAAAAGTAGGCATTTACTGGCCTACTTCCAAGACATTCACCATGAGGCTGACAGATAACAAACCTCAATTAAAAGTGTGTATAGCATTGCAAAAACATGAAGCATGTATCTCCTTAATACGAGTCCAGAGGATTAGCACTACACCGACCATCTAAACTTTTTGTTGAAGAAACAGATTTTTGGAAAGAAAATATTAAAAAAATCATTCAAAGATGTCCCTATGCAATGATTAATTTCATGGTGCCACGCTAATGTTAATTTTTTTCCTGACCTTTTCTTGAAAGGCATGAAATTAAATCCTATCATAACTGAAATACTTCTTGATGCCAACAAAAAGGGGGGAGAGAGAGAGAGAGAGAGCTAATGTAAACCTGTCTCTAATTGCCAGAAACATTCAAATGTGAGAACAGAAAGAAAATGTAACTGTATCAAACAGAATGTGAAGATATAATTGACTGAAACACTGTTACCTAATTTCATTATGCAGTGTAGTTCTCAAAATTTTCCCAAACAGACCTAAAAGCTTAAGCTTACTTTAGCTTCACGCTAGTTAATGCTATCTCTCTCTTCTGTTTAAAACAACTGAAGAGCGTCATACTGGGTCTTGCAAATTTTTATATAAGGTACACTTAATTAAAAGCAGAAAGAGTTTAAATATTTTTCTTGGAATTATGTAAATTCTCTATGTTTCAATGACAACATATACATGTACACAATGCATAAAAATATGACACCCATAACTGTGACAAGATAACCTTACTAACACACATAAGAGTACCGAGGGATATCAGAAGTGCTAAAAAATGTAAGGATTAAAGAAAGTAAAGAGGTAAGAACTGATCATCAGATAAAAATTTAATTTGAGACTCATGAACCTACATTAAAATATATGTAATAATATACATACAACTATGCCTAACATATTCATTATACTTCATATTAACAGTCCCCTCTCAAGATGATTGCTTTTACATTCCCACCTGTTCCTCTTTGTGTACAGATTAAGCATTGCTACCATGACTTCAGTGAATAATGTGTGCCAAATTTTAAGGAAATAAACAGGAACAGACCTCTGTGCTTCTCTGTCATCCTTAGGACTGTAGTTTGCTAAGGAATCCAATATGAACACCTGGCCCCATTCTGTGCACTCATTCAGAGCTGTCAGCAGTTTGTTGATAGTCTGGGCATTCATTTCAATGAGGGGTGATCCACTTGTGCTAGCTTCATTTATTTCAGATAAGGCAGCCACAGCATTAGCAACGACCTGAATAAGGAAACAGTGAATTGTAAGTCCTTAGAGTTTGGTGGAAATACCTAAAATCTAAATTGACTTTAGCAGGGGATGTCTGATAAGGTGGCTAATATATATATATATTCAAGTTCATAACCATACATGCCATTAATTACCAATGTTTCTCCTTCTGGTTCTACAGGAACCTTCGTACTTATTCAAGGGATGAACTGGCTGGAACTGGTTACTGCCAGTCCAGTTTAAATCTTTTTGTGGCTTATTTAATGACATTATCAGTATTTTTTATTGCTAGTGGGGTGGGACTAAGTCCCTTGTACTGAGGCCACTTCTGGCCTATTGTACCAGCCCCAGATGATAGGTGAAGGTGATTGTGGAGCAATTGGTGGAATGAAGATTGGCAGGGGAAACCGAAGTACTCAGAGAAAACCTGCCCCAGCGCAACTTTGTCCACCACAAATCCCACTTGACCAGACCCAGGATCGAACCTGGGCTGCCGCAGTGGGAAGCCAGTGACTAACTGCTAGAGCTATGGCGCGGCCTACATTATCAGTAACTCAAGACTCCACAGTGTTCAATGACTGGATGATCATAAATAATGAATTTGAGAAAACAGGGAAGGAACCAGTCATGACATAATTTAAGGTAGCATCCCTACATTTTTTTGCAGGGAATATGAAAAACCACAAAACCCTCAGTCAGGACAGTCAGTGTCCCGGCCAAAGTGGGCACTTTGTATATACACGTACAATTTAGAAGTGTTACTCATTGCACCAACTTACTTGTTAGTGGGTACCTTGTATATACACGTGCAAGTCAGAAGTGTTACTTATTGTGCCAACTTGCTTGTTAATCTAGTTTAAGAAAAATATGATCATATGGACAATCACTACAAAATTAGTTCATCCTGATCATGTTTCACCCTTCACAGACTAAATCTTGGCCATGTGTTTCTGGAGTAAATTAAAAAATAAACATGACATGTTTTCATGTATATTTCATAAATATTTCAATCATGGCGTAGTGTTCCTTACAAATTACAGGGAAGAATCTGTCAATTGAAATGAAATTTTTCTTCACCTTGGGAATGTGTCATGTAACACAATTACATGAAATAACAATTCTAGCTGCATATCATGTGTCTCTGGGAAAAATTCATCCTACCTGCTGATAAAGAATCTGAACTTGCTGTTTAAAATGCAGCAAAGAAATCACAGACTCCAGTAGGGATCACAGAAGGCTTGGAAAATATTTTAATGTGGCTACCAGCTACTTATGACATGCAACATATTCCAATGCAGAGATCTGGGCCATGATCATGGAATGATTAATATTATAATACCAACCATAGGGTTAGAATCTGACAGAAGGTCTTTCAGCTGATCAAGGAAGCCTTGGTCTTCCACTAATTGGGCATTTATATCATACAACTTTGCCACACAGACCGCTGCTGTTTTTCGGACATATGGATCTTCATCTTTGAGACATTTCCTCAGTGGTTCACACAAGTATTCTGTGATCTTGTCCACACGAATACAACCCATTGTACGAACTGCCAAAGCTCGAATCAAAGGATTTGGATCTTCACAATCCTGAAAACACAAGCATTTCCTCATATTGTAGCAAGTAAATATCAGTGCCAGAATACCTGTCTGGTAGTGTACAATGATTCACTGTACCAGCACTTTTCCTCTAAAACACAAATGAATAATATATAAAAAGAAACTTCCCAAACAATACCTTAATTTTATATTATACTGACTTTTGCTGTTCATTTATTTAACGAGCACATGTTTCCACCATTATGAGGGCATAATTTTGTTAAAAACATAAAACAACTACCACCTCCCCATATCACACACTAACACCTTTCTTTCTAGGGGAAAAAACTGGTTAATAAAAATTTGAAATTTGAAATGGAGTTTCTTTAAACCATCTGCCAAGTTGATACAGAGTAAACATACTGTAGCATGTAGACCCATTGCTAAGTAATGACTCTGTAAACAGTGCCCTTTGCTAGGCAAGAGATTCCTGACACACACCAATGGAATAATTGGGAAGCAGTGTCCTCTATGCAGTGTGCATGACAGCTGCATGACATAACAACAGAAGGGCTGTTAGATGTGTTTTCTGTGTGGTCCTTGCTAAGGTGTTATAAGCAGAATAAGTCTAGAGTTTAGTTATTTGTGAGACAGTTGCTGACCAGTAAAAATATGAACATGGAAGATGAGGGATCTACGGAGTTGGAAGCCACTACCAGATGACTGGTGAAGACACAGCAGATTAAGAAGGCTTAGGATGTACTGTAGTGAACTGCTGAGTGCATGAATTAGTGTTCAATAAATCCAATTACCAATGCAAACCCAGTCTACAGTCACTCCATCATGTGACAACGGGTGTCAGAAGTGGCATTGAACTGAGTAAGTTATTGGATTGAAGACTTCAGTAGTTGGTTGTATCATAGGCCTACAAAAATGGCACAATAATGGAACCACAGAAAAGATGACTGTAAAAATAACGCCAACCTAAAGGAAATGAAAGCCGACCAAGGACACCTGAAAGAAGAAATGATGGCCAAGTCAGATGCCCTTCACAAAACGATGATGGCCCATGTGGACACCATGAATTTGGAGACCAATCAAGAAAAGTTGGAGGCTGTAAAGGAACAGCAGGATGTTCCTGAGGAACTGCTAAGCATTACACTATGATAATTTCCACAGCACAAACCACAACAGAAACTTTCTGCTTATAAATATCTGTATAAAGAAAGTACTGGTAATTAGTGAAATGTGACTGCTAGTACCTTCACAAAGGTGTTCACCGCCATGATGGCCATGTCTGGTTGGCTCTTGGCATAATTCATTAGATACAGATATACCAATTTCTTCAGCTCTAAGTTGTCTGTCTGCATACAGTTGACCACATCTGGGAACAAAGCTGACACATCCTTCCCAACAGTCATGGATGCAATCACCTAGAAACAATTAAATATTTACATTTCAGCATTAATGACTGAAACAGATTAAATAATACAGAATGTAATTCTGTTTCAATAAACTTCAGCACATGAAATTGAAACACTCTTGCAATATTAGTACATGACTGCTCCGTAAGTTATGCTTTACTGAAACTCTCCAACTCCAACACTAGAACATTAATTTTATTTACTGATAATAATGAATCCTGCCAACGGATACAATTCTGAGCCACTTTTATCCAACCCAGATTCTCACCACCCACCTTCCTAAGAAACAGACTAATGTTACCCTCTCATACCCTTCCCACTCTTCACAATGGTTGCTTTTCAAGGGGTTTCTCCATCAATGTTCCTTTACACTTCTTGCCCCATCGCCTCAGTTGCATATCCAGCAAGAAATATAATTAAAGGTTCAATACTGTTAATACTGAAGCCTGCCAATGGATGCAAACCTAAGTCATTTTCATCCTTCACCAATCACCATAACCAACCTCCATAAGAATCAGCATAATGCTGGCCTCTTATACCTTTCCCACTCTTCCCAATTTTACATGCATTTCTTGTCTCTCCCATCTGAGCTGCGGGTCCAGCCATCTGTATCAGAGTTGGAAAAACTCAAGTATGTAATGGTGTAAAGATTACAATAAATGAAACAGTACTGGCAAATTTGGGGGGTAATTTGAAAATTATACATCACTTAAAGACCTAATGTTTTAAGAAATGCAAGGATACCACTATCCTTAGAGGATAATGTAGGACTTCGACTGCTAAATAATCTGCCATGATATATTAAAGAAATACTGGTACTATACTCGTAAAAGTTCAAAAACGCTTTGAAAACTTACCTACTGGATCATTGTTTTTATAAAGTTGATGAGTTTCTCTCATGTGAGACAAACACTAATCAATTATAATCACATAATTCATGAATAATCAGTTTTGGGAATCCCTACTGTGCAGTTTTCCTTTCTTTCTTCCAGCAACCAAGATAACACAGTCAGAGATGTACCTGAATGGGCTACTCTAAGAGACTGCAGATGCCAAGAAGCTGCACCAGGAAGGGAGAACAGATGTAATGAGATGTTGCAGTGTAGAATCTACAGTGAAACGTTATACCAGTGCTATCACCAAATTCACCAATATTATCTCAAAGGTCGCGCCATAGCTTAAGCAGTTAGTCGCTGGCTTCCCACTGCTGTGGTCTAGTCAAGTGGGATTTGTGATGGACAAAGTGGCGCTGGGGCAGGTCCCCCCCCCCGAGTACTTCAGTTTCCCCTGCCAATCCTCATTCCATCAAATTCTCCATAAGCATTATCACCAGTACAGGTACAATAGGACTATGGAAGCCAACGTGCCGAGGGGACCTAATACACATATGGATTCCACCTCACACTATATGAAATCTTAACTATTGTAATCTACTGTAATCTAGTGTAAACAATTGTAAGTATTGTAACCTTATTCTCTTATTGTAATCAGCCAATGTACAGTAACTGACTTGTCCTATTTCATGTAACAATGATCTATAGAGATGAAATAAATAAATAAATAAATATTTTAAATGTTGTGTTTTGAGCTAAAAGAGATAATCTGAAGAAAGGGGAAAACTGTATAACTAACAACTTCAAAATTTAAATACTTCACCTAATATTTTCAGGGTAATGTCTTTAAAAAAAAGCAACATAAATTTAATTCCATCAGAATTTCTGCTACCCCTTTCCCAGCATATATTTAAAAACACGCTATTTTACACACACTGTATCTTGTCATAAATTGAAGCAAAAATTCAAGATTTCAAAAATAGGTACTCACAAGATGGGCCAGCAGATACTGTCTCACCTGTATACATTACCACTTACGTACATTTATTTATTCATTCATTCATTCTTGGTGTACTGATCATTTATTTCATGACAATAATTCCAGAAATTACATAGCATTAATGGATAGGATTATTAGCAATCAATTATAAAGCATGCAGCCTAACTGAAAGTACAATCCTGGCAGTGATCTTGAGGGACTGGGGAGAACTATGTAATATTTCTTTAAAGATGACCAGTCTCAACTGGGGTTAGAATCTGGAGCCTCACAATGAAAATCTGCTGAACTTCACTGATGTTTCTATTAAAGCCAGAGTTGTTCTGTGCCTAAGTACATCATGATGACATGTAAGGACAATGGAGGCACAGTTCTACATATTCCTAACTTTGGCACTTGATAGAGGTGAGTCCAACAGCTTATAATCTGACTTTGTACCAACTGGAGAGGAGACAGCTAAGCCATACAGCTAATCTAGAGTAGTGGCAAAGAGAATGGTCCAGCCCATCAGAATTAAATCCCAGCTATCCAGCCCACAGCCACTCACATTAATTGCTGAGCTCTTCTAGGTCTTACTACTAGTATGAAAGGCAGCAGCTACTCGCCTTTGTTTCGTGCTTGTATCACAGTACATAAATGCATAATCAACTAGTTACAGCAAACAGATGTGCCACATACTACACAGTAATTGATGTGGGCCTTCTCCTAAATGTAGATTACCCATTCCAAAGGATTAGATGGCACATTCCCATTGTATGGTCACCCATATCACTTGTTATAAATTACTTGCAAGCTTAGTTCTGAAAATGTGAGTAGCATACCCATGAGCATGAGATTATGACAACAGGACAAAGCACATTCCGGTTACAGGTAGTACTAATTCTGTTGACAGGTGGATCTGTCAACAATTTTAGCCTCGGATCAAATCATATCCAGTAACTGACAAAAAGGGCTGCGCCATAGCTTAAGAGGTTAGTCGCTGGCTTCCCACTGAGGCAGCCTGGGTTCGATCCCGGGTCTGGTCAAGTGAGATTTGTGGTGGACAAAGTGGCGCTGGGGCAGGTTTTCTCAAAGTACTTCTGTTTCCCCTGCTGATCTTCATTCCACCAATTGCTCCACAATCACCCTCACCTATCATCTGAGTCTGGTACAACAGGCCAGAAGTGGCCGCAGTACAAGGGACTTAGTCCCACCCCACTAGCAATAAAAAAAACTGCCAAAAAACTGTAAATAGTAACCCATACCACTAATCAAACATTTACAGTATATAACGAACACATGAAAGATGTACTGACAGAGACAGTAAATCAGTGCCAGCTTTTTACACATGCCAAGTTGAAAGAAAGTATTAATTCTCTGGAAGAATAAGTAGGATTTAAAAGCGTCTTACTAGCAATCTTATCTGATAATGATACTAGCCTTCTTTACAGCTTCTCTTTTCTTCTCTTTCTTGTCATTGTTAAGTTCTGACTTCAGTTCAAATATCTCACCCTTCTTTGTGGTTGTAAAGTATTTGGAGTCTGTCATTGTTTGTTGCACTCCTGGAAAGAAAAAATATTACAATTACTTTTAAGGAACTCGCCTTTTTTTCCTTGGTGCAAAGAACAAAACATATTTTTATTCAACCAAATTAATAGTGCTAACAGTGCTTGTAGTGTCACTGATCATGATGCCACTGCTGATGAGACAAGATTAACAGATAACTGTAAGATTACAAATAACATACACATATTAAAATATAAACCACTGCAATGTTAGTATTCACGCTGATGAAATCACTCATGACAATAAATCTGACATCTTGATTACTGACAAAATACATCTTAGTGCCATATGTAATACTCATAAAAATATAAAAGAACCACAGAAATATAGAAAACTAACACACAGAAATTTCTCCCACACCTCACTGTGGATCTACATGCAGAATGTATATATTTTATATTCCAACACACCATATACTAGCTTTGGAAGGAGGTATTTTTATTAACACCACATCATGAAGGTGCTACATAATTCTCATTAACCATAAACTTTCTAACCATGTATACTGTTACGTGTATGTAGTGTGACTATAGATGCTGTTTGGATTCGTAATTGGATTTACTGAACTCTTGCAGATCTGTGACTATAAGTAATTATATTTTCTTTTACAAATTCCCACACTTAGCAGTTCACTAGAGAACATATGTAAGTCTTCTTAGCCTGTTTGAGTCTTCATTAGTCATTGCTTGATAATAACTTCCAATGGTGGACGTTCCCTTTCCTCTGGGTTCCCAAATGGGCCCCGGCTTCAGCTACCAGCTTCTCAGAGCAACAGCTCACAATGAATGAACCCCAGCAGATATCTAACTCATTAACTCACCAACCAACTCTCCACTAACTGCTCACAAGAAGTGAACTCCAGTGGTTATCTAACTCAATCACTCACCAACCAACTAACACTCCACTAACTCCACTGACTCCTCACTTGTCCTACTTATAACATCTTGGCAGGGATAATGTAGAGAACACTGCTTTCTGTTTCAGTGCAACTGTTGCTTTCATGTATGTTGGCTGGGCTGCTACCTAGCAACAGCTGTTGTATAGTCACTTTTTTCATGGTCATTGCCTAGCAACGAGTCTGCATGCCACAATATCATGTGGTTAGATCATGAACATGAAAGACCCAATACATGCTAAATACCAGAATAATACTACACCTGTAGGTGGTGAAGACTTGTCAATCCAATGAATTTATTGAGACTCTGGCAAAAAAAAAAAAAAAAAAATCACAGGCAAACATAAGAAATAAAAAACAAATACAACAGAAAACTATGAATTACCCTACATAAGTTTTTTTTCTCACAATCAAAATAGTTTCTCATACTATGCATATATGAGAAAGTAGAATCACTGATGCAAAAGATACCATACATAGTTTCCCTTATGGGGCTGACCTTAACTACAGTATGCCAGAAAAGAAATCTACTGTTATTTGGTGGACCACTGTTGCATACTGAATAACAATAAAATTTCTGAGACCAGTAATGCAGGTTTTGACAACATCAAAGTCTTGCATTTTGGTCCTAGTGCAAGAATCTTTATTTTTGGAAGATAATATCTATGAAGTTATATTTCAGGATATGGCCTCCGCAAATTATTGAAATTTAATCAGAATCATTACAGCCATTTTCAATAAAACTGGCATTGTGTTCTTGGACTCACTGGAGCTGGAATGTTCATATTCACTAGGCAACAACCTGTGACAGCTCTTCAGGAGCACGCATCCATAGTGATACACAGATGACATGCAAAAAAACATTATTGATATTCTCAAGTTCAAGTTTTCACAATCATTATACTCTCATAGATAGTACATACAGGAAAGTAGCCCCTTATTAACACTGTAGGAACACATACTCCAACAGTACAAAATAGACGAGAAAACAGAATTAATATTCTGTGGTCATAAAGGTGGTAATGGTATTATTAATAGCAGACATGTGACAGCAAGGAAAGCAGAGAAGTACTTGAAAGATAAACACTTCTCAACAGAAAGCCAAGAAATGTGTGATGTGAAATATAAAACCATATATAAGATTGTAGTCTTCTGAGTTCATACACCACTAGAGGTAGATATCAATGTTTGGAAGTAACCTGCTGCCTCAACCTCCATCATCATGACGGACAGAGGAGGTTCCTATAGAACACTGGTATCCACTTAAAGGACTAAATGATATCATAACCCAGAAGACAACAATTTAATCTCCCACTGTCACGAAAACCTAACATTTTACATAAAGCAATTCCGCTAATAAGTGCATGCATGGCGCTGTTATTTCCATGTGGTATTGTTCTGCTTTGATCGGCTTTGATCAGTTCACATCTTCAGGACTTCAGCTTGACCCACTCAATGGGTACACAAATAACAGGCCTGGCACCTGGGCTCAGTGAAATGCCAAGGAGATACCTCACGAGTGTGACTCAACCTTTCTCAGGAAGTTTTACCCCCCTTGCACATTTAGATAAGATTTCAAGGCTGTGAAGTAGTCACTTTAAAGAAGGTGTCAAGACCTTAATGCTCAACACACTGAAACAGCCCAGGATACATAGTTCATCTTTGGTTACATATAAATTTTGATGAGTATTCTGCAGACCACTCGTGAAATAAGACCTCGAGGCGTATTCTTGTGACATCACTTTATTACTCAACAACGTAACTACAATTCAACGTAACCATAACACAAAATGTTGAGCAAGTCGTTTCACAGTCTGTCCTTTCATGTTAACAACTCACTAGAATATCGAACTGTCCATCTCTCCGTGCTGGCTAACCACCAGTTCTGTCAACACCAAGTCCAAGTCCAAGTCACACTGCGACTCACGGTCAGTCTGTCTGTCTTTTTTTTGTTTTTTTCCTTATATGAAAGTTACTGTCCTCTTCATTTGGTGTGCCCTCTCTGACGAGAGGTCGGGTCTGTCATTTGTCAGTCATAGTCTGTGTTAGTAAGTCTATTGTCAGTATTTACATATATTTACAAATCTAATCTTAATTCCTATTTCTATGTACAATATATACAAGGCCTCTGTCAACCCAGGCTCAGTGCAGCAGATTTTGCCCTATTTCTACCAGTATTCACTACCACAGCAGTCTAGTCACTTGAACGGTAGTAAGCCTGACCGCCACCAAGTTTAAGCCTCTTATACTTTCTGTGTCGGGCTTCGCCTTGTCCAATGTTGTGAACATTTTCATTTTCATGATTTTGTATGACTTCTGCTTGTTTCCTGCATAATTTTGTTACATAGTCATATACGTACAAGATTTTAAATGCCATATGCACATCGCAGACCGGTATGTGCCTTGGAAAATTGCAAATGGTGCAGAGAACCTTGATTTGCAGGCGCTGCAATCTCACTAGATGAGTGTCTGCCGCAAATTCCCAGGCGGGACTAGCATAAGTCATTACAGATCTAATAAGAGCTTTGTGGAGGGTCATTTTAATGTTAGCGCTCAATCGCTCACTTTCAAATAGGGGATATACTCTAATGAATGTTCTGAAGGCCTTGGCTTCGATCATTTCTATGTGCAATCTCCATGTAACTCTCCTGTAGCATTTCTGGGGTAACGTCATTACTGCCCAACAAATAACATGCAACAACTAGTAGAGCAAATGCATATGCAGTCATGGATCATAAGTCAAGGAATTAAAGGGGAAAGAAGTCTCAATTTTCAACAAGACCTATTAAAGGCTATATTATTCATAAATTGTAACTTTTTTATATCATATAGACCTTACAGATTCAAACAGCAAACACCTGGCATGAAAAATTGCAAGCCTCACAATTCAACTAGATTCTAAAGGGTTGTGACGATGGTATACAACACTCAGAATTATTGTTCTTTTTTGGACTTTGCCCATCTCCCAGTATTCTAGAAACTAGAACACACAAGGTTTCTGAAACTGGATCTGTTTCCATCCTCAGATGGGGGGGGAGATATCTACTTAGTTGGGAACAAATTTCTAAATGTTGTGTTTTCTAGTTTCCAAAATACCAGACAATGGACAAAGTCCAAAAAGCCAGTAATTCTGAGTCTCACAACTCAACTGTTACAGCAAAGACAACTGCAGGGTAACTAAACTTCTTCTATCATTGAATACATATACACAGTGCATGCAGGAAAGGATGGCAAAGTTCTCAGTTTTCATCAGCTGTAACATATATTTCTGTATACTTATTTCTAAGAAATAACATAATACTAAACCATATTTTAAACCTGAGATTCTATTACAAGCTACAAATTATTGTTTAATTCAGAAACATGTTTCTTAAGCATGTCATATTTAACTGAAAACAGTATTGCATAATACATATAGAAAATCTGTGATGAAATGAAGGTGGGAAGCCCTCATGGTATTGTATGCTGGTACTTAAAAAATTTTTAATGGAGCTTATGTAACCTCAGATCTCAATAGGAAGCAGCAGCTTTCATGCTGCTTTTAGTTGTCACAGTGATCAATAAACTGCAGCATGGCTCTACTCACAAAGTAAGTCACATTTGTCACTGATTTCATAAATCACAAATTGTATTTAATAGCAAAAACACAACCAACTTTTGTTAAGAAAATGATTCTAAAACCGAGAAGACACAAAATAATAACTGATCAGATGCATGCTCACAAACTTGTTATATTACGAAAGACATAAACCAACCACTGCTTACTATAAATCATCCTCCACAAAATGATTTGTTAAACCTTGAAGCATTTTGGAAACATATACTATAACATTCTGGTTAATTTCATTATATATCCAATACATTCAGAATAGTGTGACTTTTTTAAGTCAGTTACTTAATGACAATGTCAATATCTTATATATAAAGCACTAAGAATAGTGTGAAGATAAAAATATTCACGTAAAATCAAGCTGCATTAATTATTAAATAAAACTGGTGCAAAGAATTTTATGCGGGATTACAGAGAACAAAAGAAGTGACAATAAACAACACTCAAAAGGGGTACTCTTAACAAATTCATTCATTCATTCCATTCCTTTATTTTTCATTTATCCTTACAGGTAAAAAACCTAGGATGTGGAAACAGTCTCTTTGAGAATAGATGTGTCCAGATACATATACTAAATTACACGAGTTACACAATTAAAATTACTTATATTAATCAATTAACACAAATAATAATATAAAATAAAAAACCTAATAAGATTTTAATTACTAAACATAATTTAAAAAGAACATTACTATAAAACTTAAATTAATATAATTTTCATTAAATTACCCAAATTAACTGAATCAAATTTATTACAAATTTACAGACATATAACCAATTATATTAATAATATATTTTGCTATATCACTGGCTATGACACTCATTTATTGCACACACAAATCCAATGTACTGGAGCTAACATCACTACATAAGATTTGCGATTTTCATGGTAATGGAAATGTATGTTTCAAATCACTTCTACCCTGAAGAGGATGGCAGCAGGTTCCTCCAAAGCAATGGTGACCACCTACCATACTACACAGTATCATAACATAGTACACTGCAATCTACCAATATAAATGATATAAATTTACACAGTTAACACATATTACTGTTCCTTATATCTTGCTAAATATTTACCACAATGAAGAACGTTTAAGTTTTAAAGCATAGTGAAGCCTATATTCCATGTCACATAACAGTATTTTGTGCAGCAAACTATTTTTGAGAAAAAATTCTGAATTTAGCTTTGCACCAAGCATGGGTTATACTGGACAGATACAAACCAATACAAAATTTGTCCAACAACTTTTGCTGTAGACTGCCAATATTAATTTCATCACAATCTCCTCCCCTATAAGTACTTTCTTCAAACAACTCATATAAAGAAACCAATTAGGGTATGGGTTGATTATGCATTCTCTGAAGCATAACATGGGGCATTTAATTACTTTTGAAATACCTTCCTTTCAGAGGCTTGGTGTGCGTCATCATGGCTGCCACAGTAGAGTACTGTTGCTCTCAAACTGCTGTAATACCACTGTGGCCATGTTACTCAGTATTTAAGATAGAATTCGCAAACCCTGCATCTCCCTTGTCATCTGTATACCGCTACACTAGCAAGTTTATGGCAAGAAATGATGAAGCACAATATGCAGACCACCCAGGTATGTTGTGAAATATTAAACTACACCTCTATAAAGAGGTCAGTCCAACAAGAGGCATCAACACTATCCTATATGAAAGAGCTTAAGTATGGCATTTAGACACAATTGCTCCTATCATCCATTGTGTTATCTTCTGCTAATTACCACAGTGCCTAATTTATACAATAAAATAAAGTTTAAATGTATTATACCAACAACAAGAGGTTAAAAAATGTCATTATAACAGAAAGTGAACAGGATGAGATAAGCTGATGCCAGTGTTTTGGAACTCCCTCCCATGACAAGTACCAAAAACAATACTATAAAGCATTTTTGAAATGTAGTTATAACATGAACATACTGAATTCTGATTCACATATTAAAATGGCTCTATTTTATTGAAGTTACAAACCTTGATTTTCATAGCAATCACAAAATAATTTTAACACCATAAATAATTTTCAGCATAAATTTCAATTTATATACATTTCAATTCCATTAAATTATTTTAATTCTGTTACTTATTGAGGCCTCCCTGTTATCTGACTATCAGATTGTGTGTTCACCCTGGAAGGGCCACCAAACTCACGTATAGAACTGCAGCTACACAATGTTGTAATTCAGCGACCAGGTTATGTAAGCACATCATCACATGAAGCTAGAAACTGTTCTATGGGAACTGTACGAATCTACAATTTCACTGTGACTGGTGATCTTGTTCAAGTCAGTGAGTAAGTACTCTGAGCAAACATTACATTATATTTAATGATTTCACAAAGAATAAATAGTATATGCAGAACAGTGCTCAAGAACTTAAATATTCAATCAGAATTACTGGGATTTTGGACTTTGTCCATCTTCCAGAATTCTAAAATCCAGAGAATGTAACATTTCAGAAACTGCATTTGTTTACGTCCCCAAGTTAGAGGGAAGATACCTACTCCCTTGGGTCCCTTAGAAAAATCTAACCTCAATCCTGTGCAGTCCAATGTTCATACCCCAGCACAGTTTAGCAAACCCCAATGAACAGTACTACAGTTCAATTTATTTCAACATTTACAAACTATCAGCAAGACAGAATATTTACTTATGTTCAGCGTGCAAGAATAATATAACCTGTTCAAATTAAATTAATCCTACTATCTTCCAGAAAGTGTCTGTTAAATAATACTATTATTTTAATTTCCAGGGTTTGTAGTTCGTTTCAGACAGGAATTAAGCTACTGAGTGATACCAATGTTGCAGTTGTTACATCAACCATAGCTACAGGTCACTTTGACCTTGAGGCTACTGTCATTCCACAAAATAATACTGGCAGAAATGAACTAACAAGAAGACTGCCAACAAGGAAAGAAAATATTATACACCTTGGCCACTCTCAGAATGAGGTGAATGTAATACATAAACTACTAAATCCTCTTAAATCAAAATCACTTTCTGAGAAGCTATCCTCCGGTACTTCAGATGAGTTGATTCATGAGGAAGTATCTGAAGATTCTGACTATTATGAAGACTACAATAATGTGGACAGCAAAGATGACTTCAACAATCTCAAGAACAAATTAAATAGGCCTACTGATCACACATTTAACCATGATTTAAACAGTGAGCTGAATGAAGAAGAAAATAATCAGTTGAATCATAAAGTCCGCCAATTTAATCAGCCCATGAATAATCAGCTTCATCATCAAAGAAACGGTGTGGAAAATATGTTTTCTCAACAACATAATAGCCTTTCAAGCCAACTTGTGAATCATCAGACAGGAAACCAGTTCATGGAACAGAACAGTCCGCTGAACAAACCTGTGAATCAATCTAAGGGAAACCAACAGAATGTCAAATTACATCCCACAGGAAATCAACAACAAAATGGCCAAATGAGCCATACTACAGATCACACACTTGAAAATCAGTTTATTCAACAAAATGAACATTTAAATCAACACATCAATCACTTGGTAGGAAATGATTTTAATCAACGCCTGAATGACCACAGAAATCAACCTATGAATCAGTTCAATAATTCTGTGAGTAATCAATTTACTCATCAACTGAATCAAGCACAAAATCAATTAATCAGTCACATAATAAGTCAACTTACAAACACTCAGAATTATGTACATCAACCAAATCAGCTACATCAAGGAGCAAGAGATCAGATGATACAACAAACTGATCAGACAAATCAACTGACAGATAAGCTACTTCAACTGACAGTGCAAAATAACGACCATGCTAATAAAGCAGACAATTTCCAACAGAATGCTCAAATGAAGCAACTGCTGAAACTACTAATTACAGCAGCAGAAAATCAGGTTCAAGGACAACAGAATCAATTAATCAGTGACATAAGTCAACTCAGAGGCACTCAGAAGTATGTACATCAATCAAATCAGCTACATCAAGGAGCAAGAGATCAGGTGATACAACAAACTGATCAGACAAATCAACTGACAGATATGTTACTTCAACTGACAGTGCAAAATAACGACCCTGCTAATAAAGCAGACAATTTTCAACAGAATGATCAAATGAAGCACTTGATGAATCTACTAAATACAGCACCAGTAAATCAGGTTCAAGGCCAACAGAATGGACCATCCAGTGAACTGGCAAATTACATAATAGACCCTACAAGCACTCAAATGTCACAACAAAATGTTCAAATCAGTCCACTTGCAACTCAGTCAATTCATCCTGTCAGCACACAGCTCATTCAGCAAGAAAATGACCAACCAAGTCAATCTGTTAAAGGATTTCATTCATTCTTTCATCCACAGTATACACAAGTCAGTCAACCCATGGGTCATGCGATTCATACTGCAAAGAGTGAAGCCAATGATCAAAAGAAAGATCAACCCAGTATACCCATAGATGCAATTATCAATTCTGCAAGTAATCACTTCAGTGATACAGGCAAAGCCAATAAAATTGAAAATAATTTAATGCACCTCATACATAATCAGATTACTGATCAAAAGACAGACCAAACAAACCAGTATGTGAACAAATTAATTCACCCCCCCATTAAAGAAATGGATGATTATCAGAAAATCAGTAGTCAGCCTAGTGCTTATCAGCTTAGTGACAATGACAAATTTCAAGAATACCAAAACATGGCTAGTAATCTTGCTCTGAACATTATATCTGATCAATCAAGTCTGCTGAATGACGTTCCTTCAGAAAAGAAGATTATGTTTCCTGTCATTAATAAATTCAATAACATTTTAGGCAATCAGACAACTTATCGTGAGAATAGCAAATTTACAAATAATAACAAATATCTCTTTCCCAACATAACAGAAAACAAAACCATCAACAATGAACCTTCTGAAAATAAAGATGAAATCAATGTAATGAAAACATCAACAAAATTCAATATGACAAAAATTTTAGTACGAAATACAGCTCCAGTTTATATTCACAAACCATTTATTTTTTAAAATAAGGCCATTACACTATTTCAAGATTCAGATTTGACATCTAAGGAATGAATTAGCATATACATCTACGTAACATATCATACCTTACATTTTCTTAATTTCTTACTCATGAATGATTTTGTATATTTATGTATGCTTAAATGGGCCATAATAAAAATATTAAAGTACCCATTACTTCATTTACCATTATTCCTTCATGCTGGTTCATTCAAAGATTATATAACAAGAGGTTATGGTCAATGGCAGCCATATGTACAATGAATTGTAAAGGAACAAAGAAGTGATCATGCTTTACTTCACTGTACTACCAATAAAGACCAATGGAAACAACTAAATACTTCAAGACAGCTGATACCTCAATCCAAATTAAAATGAGGTGCCTCATAACGACAAGCCAATTCCATCACCACTTCCATAATTACAAGTATGGCAAAACCTTCTTTTATATGATTTATATTGTTTATTTTTCCCTTCAGTACTGTGCAGAAGAACCCCCTGTTCAAGTGGATATTTCAACACCACAGTTCAATACTGTAACATTTACAAGAATAATTAACTAAACTAACTTCGTGGAGCTGAGCCCTTCCTGAGAAGCCGCCAACTGTGCACCTAGTCAAGAACTTCCCACCATTTTATGGAACCCAAACGTTTATCACCATGTTCACAAGATTCCTCCACTGGTCCTTATCCCAAGATAATCAATCCACTTCATACCACCACATCCTATATCTCTAAGATCCATTTTAATATTGTCCACCCACCTATGTCTTGATCTTCCTAGTGGTCTCTTTCCTTCTGGCTTTCCCACCAATATCCTACATCCATTCAGCTTCTCCCCCATTTGTGAACATGCCCTGCCCATCTCAACCTCCTTGACTTGATCATTCTAATTATACTTGGAGAAGAGTACAAGTTAAGAAGCTCATTATGCAGTTTTCTCCAACCTCCTGTCACTTCCTCTCTCTTCAGTTCAAATATTCCCCTCAGCACCCTGTTCTCAAACACAATCAGTTTATGTTCCACCCTTAATGTCAGAGACCAAGTTTCACACCCATACAGAACCATAGGCAAAATTATAGTTTTGTATATTCTAATTTTTATGTTTTTAGACAGCAGATGAGAAGACAAAAGGTTAGCAAGCAAATTTAATCTCCTCTTAATTTCCTCCTGAATCAAATTTTGATTTGTTACAGTCATTCCCAAATATCTGAACTCTGCCACATTTGCAAAACACCTGTTAGCTATCTTTATGTACACTTATAAGAACAGATACACAAAGAGAACTGACATGTATTACAGCATGTCATTTTCAGTACACTCATACACATACAAGATAAATAATTATACAGATATTGTGTAGCAAGGCAGTAGACAGTCTCTCTGTTAATCTGAATACTACATATAGCCAAGTTCCACTACTGGCTTCATGTTTCACTCACAGTGAGGCAAACCCAATTCACCCTGTCAAGAAAGATTGTGTAGTACATATATGTAATATGTACTTAATCCAGACATGTTGAGTGCCAAATATTCAACAAGGCACGACAACAAATAATACATTCCTCTACCCAAATTACCTCAGTGAACACTGCTGCTATAAATTATAAATTTTAATGTTCATTTCTGCAACAGGCGTACATCACAAGATGAACACTAGGAATTAAGGAATTGATTATGCAATAACTGAACATAAAGATCACACATAAATGCAAATTCACCAATAATGCTTTTTAAAAATCCAATATACATTTTATTCTTGTTCATAAAATGGCATGTTAATGGGAAAAGTTGCTATTTGAAAAAATGACATGTTTTAAAACATGGAAATAAAATGCACACATGTTTACTGTGTGTGTGTGAAACCTGTTCTGCCTCTGAGGGAAAAACACTGCTGAAAATACTCAAGAAAGAGTACTAAGGAGAATAATGGCCCTCAAAGAAATGGACAGGGGAATGGAGGAAATTATGTAATGTCAAGACTTATAATGAATTACATAATGACAAGACTTCCAATTCATACTCTCCACTTAATTCTGTTTGAGTGAAAGCACAATGTATGAATATATTGTCACACAGAATGGAGTGACTATAGACAGGATTTTGGAATGGATATTAGATTTATTGATAATTTTAACCCACAATTCATAATTCCACTTAATTATTGCACCACTGCTAATTTCCACACACTTAATAAATCACTAGTGCACACGTTAAGTCTTTTTCAGACTGCAGTGTCTTCACTAGGAGTTGCCTGGTAACAGCTTTTAAGAATGACTATTCCTCTGCTTCCTGGCTCAAGTCCTCTATGAATGGCAACTCCCTTCTGACTGAACTATCCTTCCAAGTCAAAGTTATGTTACATATGGCAGTCAGTGGGCCAGTCTGTCTTGGAATAAAGCACCTATCTGGGGCTTAAGCCCAGATCTTTATTACTGTCAGACAGTTGTAGGCTTGTTGATGTGGGGCCCTCTCTCTGATGACAAGACAGGTCTGTTGTTTGCCAGAGTCACAGTCAGCAGTAATAAATCTGTTGTCAGTCCAGGCGCAGAACAGTAGATCATGCCCTGTCATTAGTAGCTCCTGCTCCAACAGCAGTCTAGTCACTTTAACGGTCATATGCTTGACCACTGTCAAGTTTAAGCCTCTGAACTATTCTTGCTTCAATTGTCCACCTTATAACCCCTTTGTATGGACCAACTGGAAAACACAGTTTCCAACAGTACCTCTATTGTTGCATGCGGGAATGTGTTCCTGTGGGAATGTATTTACTGAGCCAATTCTTAGAAACGGCTGTTATATTTGCTTATCTCATGGTCACTGAATATTAACAGCTCTACATGTAAAAAAAAAGAGAGAGAGAGAGAAAAATGAAAACAAAATATTGTTAAACACTTGGAACACTGCATCTTCAAGACCAAGACAAAGGCGGGTGATAATATTAAAATTGACCCTAGTATGACAATGATGCTGAATCTATTGAACGGGTTGATCATAAGGAACAATGCTGTTTGCAGTGATTAACCTTTGAAATATAATACCTGAAGGACACTTAATGGGTCAGTTGGGTGGTTACCATTCAATGTTTGTAGTATGCAAAGAGAACAAAGCATCACCATACTGTAACTCATTAGCTGAACAATTCTGTTTACAGAAATCAGGTAATAGGTATGATGCTATGATACCATATTTCATAATTTAAGCAGCATTTGGCACATACAATATTGATATACTTGCAAAGCCTTTTTTAGAATGTAACATAACATGGTAGAAAAGAGGGAAGTAGATGTTTACTATTTCTCTGTAAAAGAACATTAATAAGCCAAGATTACAATATTATATTTAAGCATCCTGTTACACTCACACAATATATGAGACAAACTCCATCTTAAGTGCAACAATTTAATTGTAGTTCTTCTTTCCTTCCTCCATACTACATGTTTTAGCCCTAAATGGCCATCATCAGGTGTATATTCTTACGTAGCTGCTACACTGCCCCTAGTTTAAAATTTAAAACACCAGTCTTTTCAATTGTATGTATGTATAAAATCTTTGTTAACCTACACACGTCAATTTGATTTCCAAAATTGGCACTTTTTAAAACTTCAATTTCAAATTAAAATGTCTTTAAATTTTCCGTTCTTTTCCAAATTTTAATTTAAATTTCATTTTAATTATTTTTTTTATACATACATACATACAACTGAAAAGACTGGTGTTTTAAATTTTAAACTACGGGCAGTGTAGCATCTACGTAAGAATATACACCTGATGATGGCCATTTAGGGCTGAAACATGTAGTGTGGAGGAAGGAAAGAAGGAAGAACTACAATTAAATTGTTTCACTTAAGACGGAGTTTGTCTCGTATAAAGCCAAGATTATTTCAAAGCTAAAAAAGTTTATCAATCATATAATGAAACTTACAGCACAGGTAACAAATTTAAAACCTGATATGAAGATTCCTACATGCTTCACACAGCTTATTAAATACAACTATGCAGGTCATGATGCAATTCAGCACTTTCTCTCTTACATGTATTAGAAATTATGCTGGTACCAGATTACTTGGATAGGCAAGTCAGGGCAAAACATCACAGTATCATACAGTGACGGCCTTAACACAGCTTAACAGTTTACTGAAGCAGAAACAGCTGATTCAACATGGAACTTATTATAATTTCATATATGTTGGCATTATCATTTTTTGAACTCGGAGCACATGCTCGCATACAACCAAATGTAGTCAGAGTTCCCCTTGGTGGGAATAGTCAACATTCCAATGGCCAATCACAACATGCACGCCAAGCCATACCAATAGCACCACCAAGTACAACTACAAATATCACATCAACAACACCTCCAACAGCTGAAACAACCACAACTGGAGCAACAACAACAAGTACACCAAATGGTGAAAATCTGAGCTGTTCCCAGACCATTCAAGTAACTTCAGACATCAAACCACCATACCATTTTGTGGTGGATGAACACAATGCTGCTAATTTACACTGTGTGATAACAATCTTTGGAGAGCGAGGGAAACGACTTTTGTTGCAACTAACTGAGGTGAACCTCCAGCCTGGATTATTTGATTGTGAAATTGACTCCGTTCAGGTGTACACACTATCTGATGGAAAACTGTCATTTAAGGACAAGTAAGCATAATACATTTTATATTGTTTATATATTAGATGAAAAGCAAATATCTTGGTTTCAGAGACATGAAGCAGGGCATGGACGATACTGTATAAAGAAGAACTTCATTATTTAAATAAGTCACCTACAATCATGACATAAGGTCATAACGGGCTGAACATGTAGCCTAGGTGAGGGAGACAAAAAATAAATGCATACTTCTGAGGGAAACCTTTTGGAAATAGGCAACCTGTAAAGCCAAGGCAGCAACAGGAAGATAATATTAAGATGGGTCCCAAGAAAATCAGGTTATAAGAATGTGAACAGGGCTGTACTAGGTATAACACCTACATTACATAGGACTAGTATTTCACCATGTCATAAGTTCCTAGTTGTTATGCTGGTGTAACTGATAGCAGAAAACTAAAATTTAAAAAGGTGGGACAAATTCCAGTGAAATGATGTTCATTTCATGTTTCAAGAAAATTCATAAACTGCATTTATTCAAAAGTTACTGAAGATAGCCGAAATGGAAACATGCATGGGCATAATACCTAAAGCCTGAGTTTTCTTATAGAACAAAAAGCACCAATTAAAAATAGGGAATGATCATGTAGTACATGGACTACTGATGTATATATAGGGAATATTTTTACTGTGTAGACTGGGTCCACAGCTCTGTGCTTCGCGGCAACCGGTGCGCTGCTTGCTGCGAGTAGCCTATGAATTTTGCTGATGAATCAGCATGCGTGACGTCCGATAACATTTGGAATGAAGTAATTACAATTCACAAATCACAGGTGGTGCTGAAAATGCTGTCCTTTCTACACTTAGATATTTTTCACAATTAAGTGTTTCGTTAAAAGTACAACAATCCTTCTTGCACTTACAGCACACCAGACACCAACTTTCATTGGATGGCATCAGCAACTGTGTTGCCGTTCTTGCACCAGACTTTGACACTCCAGTCTCTTGGGCTAGACGTTTCTGTGATTTTTTATATGTATGTTCAAGTCTGGCCCTTGTGTCATCCAACTTCTCTTCAGTAAGCACTCGAAGCTTATGTTTTTGTTTATTGTCTAAGTTTATTCACCAAATTAGGAACTGTCTCTCTGCTGGGAACTTTTTCAACATGAAACTTATGTTAAAAATTTTCACTGATACTTTCTAGTAGGTCCATATTTCACATATGTGTCATATAGAACATTGCTCTAAGTACACCCCACCATGATGTAAAACACTGTTCACTAACTGAAAATGGGGCCAGTCACAGTAGCTGAGCAGTCTAAGGCATGTACTGTCTTCGCTCGCTTGGAAACCGAGATTGTGGGTTCGAATTCCACTCAGGGCATTGATGTTTAGTTTGTGTGTGTGCGTCTTTCTTTGTTTGTGCACAGGTAGAGGTCTTGCGACGAGCTGATCACCCGCCGAAGGAGTCCTACCAAATGTCTAAGATCTAGAAAAACCCAAGTGAACGGAGAAGTTCATGGAGGTAGGCCTAGGCCCACAGGGGCTGTAGTGCCAAGGGGAAGAAAAAAAAACTGAAAATGGGAATAAATGGATAATGGAGCTGATAACTGCTGCCTATTGCTGACAAATCATAAACAAATTCCCATGCATGAACTGCACTGCTTGCCATGTAATATAATACCGTCAAGCAGACCAAAAGTTAATTACTTCCCTTCATTCCAAACATCGGCCATCAAGCATATTGATTCACACACACATACACGCATGATCAGTTATATAAGTCACTGGACAACATTCTGACTGGATCTGGAACACTAACAAAATTAGGTTGGCTCATTTAAATAGAATAAAACTGAATTTGGAACATTCACAATGCTAAACAGATTAATTAAAATAAAACTGAACAAAATCCACAGTGAGGACTATACACGCAAACATCTGCCCAATATATTTCCTTGTAAGAAAAGTCTAAAATGTAGGGATGTTTATAACCATGGCTTCATTTTGCTATCCTACCAGAAAAGTTTAAAATAAATGGAAAGTTTTAGAACTGAATGAACATATTTTGCACCAGTAACAACTATTACTTCAGGGTGGGGGGGTATACACATATACATAAAACAGAATCTTCTTTAAGGTCAATAAAATATAACAAATATGGATAGGCTAGGGCATATATGCATAGAATTTTAATTGGTAAGTTGCATCAACCAAGTCTTCTCTTTACAGACTCCCATACAACTGACTAACTTCTTACCCTGTCCCTTGCTTATAACATTTTGGCAGGGACAAACAAAAAAACACACATCTTTTATTGTTGCTCCCAGCGTTTCCATGAGCACGTGTTTTGTTTGCGAAGGCGTTACCCAGTAACAGCTCTGGAATACTGTCCCCATTTATTTCACTTGGTTCCTGTAACAACTGCAATTTGGCTTGTTTCTTTTGATCTAATAATGTTGAGCATTCTTCGTCAAACCATGGCTTATGCTCCTTCAGTTCATAATAACCTAGACTCTCTTGGCTGAAATTTTGATATTCTCTCTAACAGTTTCCCAAGCTCTATTAATATCCACCTCAGCATCTAAGGTTTCCATAGCTCTGAACCTACTTGTCTTTTCAACATGATACTGCTCTTTACCCTCTTATCTTGTTTAATTCATTGAGACTGAACCTCTCCATAAAAAACCTGTGTGTTGTTTGTTTACTCACTGTCAGTCTCTCCCTAACTCCCTAACTTTTTCCACCACCAGACAGTGGTCTGAATCACAATCTTCTGCCCTGAACAATCGGACATCAAGTACACTTAAACGTCATCTCAGCACATTTAAATTATACAAAGTAATAACGAACACCTTCAGAATTTCTTTATGACTGAAACTGTTTCACAAGATGCTTATCTACTACATTTCAGCTTGTAAGTCATCACACCTTAAGGAGGGCGACAATGGGTGAATGTTGCAGCCAATTTACATTTAATTTTTTACTTTTTCCTTCCCACATTTCTACTGCTATCATATTCACAAAAAAATGTTCAATTACAGATTCTGCAATCTTTCTCATCCATCGCCTGAAATCCTGACTGAAAATAATGTAGCTGTTCTGACATTCAACTCAGCCAGTCAACTAAGTGAACAAGGATTCATGGTACAAGCACGATCTGTGCTGCTCCCCGATGAAGGAAACATCAACAGTGGTTATACTGACACTGGTTATGGAGATGGTTCTGGCTCTTATACAGGTTATGTGTCTGATTATACCAGTTATAATCCTCCTGTGTACAATGACTATTCCAGTGGTTACACAAACACTTCCTACACCAAATACAGCCCTCCTAAAACAGGTTATGCAAATGGGTATTTTAATATAACACATGCAGGATACAAAGTTCCCCAATATGTTTATTACGGTCCACCTGTAACGACCAACTATCAAAATGTGAATGATTGTGATAAAGTGCCATGGAAAATCACACAGAAGCCTGAAATTAGCTACGGGGCCTACACGCCTCCAAAGTCACATCAAAACAACGAATTATACACATGGCTAATCAGTGCAACCAAGGGAAACAACTGGTCAAAAGAAATATATGCATAACACCTCACTTACTGCCATTTCAGATTTGAAATAGCATTTAAAACTTATCATACCTAGCTTGGAGAAGTCAGTTATAAACACAAATTCAATCTGTATACTTCAGTTATTAATGTATCAAATCCAGAGTTGAAACAATTAATTTCATTATACACTTTGCGTGTTGGAGTATCGCACGAAATAAATTACTTTCTAGAAGTTACATCTCCTTGTATAACAAACGTACCTTGTACACTTTTTACTTCAGAATGTTCTGTTCGATGCTCCTAATGACAAATATAATAATTTTCCACTGCAGCGTCCTGGAGTACGTACAGAAAATTGTATTGTAAAAGCAACTTTAACATTAAATTCAAGCAAGCACCATTACACTGTCAACCCTGACGACCGTGGATGCCTCAGACGTTGACGGTATCCACGAATGAAGAGGCACGAGAGAACACGCCTCCTTACAACGTTCAGAACTGCCAACCCCGAAATGGGAAAGATGGCCGTCGAAATTTTCAGCCTCCTGTCAAATGCTAATTGGAAATTGACTAGTTTGGTCGCATTTGTTTTTATTTTACATAAAATATGCTACTTCTCATAACAGCGATAAGTCGGGATGAGCATGAATGGAGTGTTCATAGTGAACGTCGCTGTCGAGTTGTTAGCACTCCAGGTTCGTATTCGACAGTTTCCGGGTTCAAGCCTTGGTCGGGACCAGTCGGTACATTAGTCTTGGTTCGTTCGTGGTTGTAGTGCCCGACGGTCTTTCCAGGTAAAACATAAAAACAAAATAAACTCCGTGATTTTAGTTCGTAAGCGAACTATACCGACCGAGCGACCGCCGCTTGTCAGCGAAGTTTAGTGCCAACTTTTGCGGGTAGAGGGTGTCGCGTGGTCAGCGCAACGAATCACCACTGCCGTTAATTTCGGTTTTCTAGACCGGAGCCGCTATTTCAAGGAAATACGTCCTCAGTTATTAACACGTGGCTGAGTTGACCCGTTGCAGACCCACTCATGAAGGATCTTGGTAGCGCCATGAATTGAACCTGGACCTTTCGATCAATAGCCAGAAACGCTGACCACCAGACCACACACGCTGTCTTATTTCCAGGTAAAGGCAGCAATATTATTACAAACGAAGCCATAATCTCCCCTCATTTATGCTCTTCAACAGAATAAAAAGAGTTTTCTATAAGAAACTCTTATCAATTTATGTTTAAATTTATTAATGTCATGTAGAGGTTGCTTGATAGTGAGGGGTACAGAGTTAAATAATGTAATACTAGAATAATGTACTCCTTTTTGAACTTTAGTTAGAATTACTAAAGGAACATGAAAGTCCAATTTTTAGTGGGTATTTATTTTATACAGATTGATATTTGTTGTGAATAAATCGTTATGCTTTACAACAAACATGAGTTGAAAAAATATGATATTGAGGGGTAGAGAGTTAAATAATGTAATTCCGAATAATGTACTCCTTTTTTAACATTAGTTAGACTTGCTAAAGGAACACGAAAGCCCAGTTTTTGGCAGGTATTTATGTAATTCAACATTTAATGTAAATAAATCCTTATGCTTTACAACAAACGTAAGAGTTGAAAAAATGTATTCGAAATAAAGAGTTAAAATTTGAAGTTTAATAAACATTTCCTTACAGGAATCCTTTGCTTTAGCTTCCATGATAATTCTTACAATTCGTTTCTGGGTTATAAAAATAGATCCATTATGTGGCGAATTACCCCAAAACATTATACCATAATTTGACACTGAATGAACATAGAAACAGATCATCAGACCATTCCACACTACATAGTTTGAGGTAAATAAATATATAAATATTTATGTCCGGTTGCTTATGCTTATTCTGGTAATTAAAATTTTATTGACTTCTTGGTTGATGGATTCATGGTCTACCCAAGTCAAATGATTGTTCATGACTGTATGACTTGACATATTAACCAATTAAACATATAAATAAAAAAGCAAAAAGTTTGGGGGTTTATTTCAGAGTGCTGTATCTCAGACTATATAGCAAACAGCAAAAAGACACCCACCACCCCCACCCAAGGTGATGCCTTATCAGATGATCTGCCAAAGCTTACCCAAATCTTTGAACATAGAGAAGTTACTTAGGCCAGTGGTGTAAACTGTGATAAAGCAGCTCCTACAATGCAACAGAAAGAAAAGGGGTCAATGCTAATCAGTCCTACACTGTTCTGTAAAATCTCTGTGGATCTGGATTTTGAAATCACATATGCACATATTAAACTAATGAACCTGGGACATTAAGCAGCAGTAATTCTAAAAAGATCTGTCACAAACCATTACAGGAACAATCACAATGTTTGACATTTCTTGCAATAATTCATGATTGATTTGTGGCGGATATGACCTAATCCATGATGTATCCAATCCATGATATCTGCATATTTTATGGTTTATTTAATAAAATTTTCAATGGCTCAGATAACATAACATCAAATTATGGAATATTTTGCGAATTATATATTGGAAAGTCAGATGAGAGCAGTTGTGGCCCATACTATTGGGAATTTAGGAGCCGGGATATTGCAAACCATATAGTGACTGTCTATGGGCTTGAGGACTGAGGGGTCAGAGTTTGAGTCCCAGTAGGGTTAAGAATTTTCTTTTCTCCATGTCATCCAGACTGGCTCTGGGGCCCACCCAGCTTCCTATATAATGGGTACCAGGGGAAAAGCAGCAGGGGCGTGAAGCTAACCATTCACCTCCAACTAGTGCCAAGGTCAGCAGAATATGAATCTATACATCCACTCCCCAATACATCTTCATGGTGTAGTGCTTAATTAGTTAAGCACAAAGACAACTTTACTGTCTGGAATTTTGTTAGAGACACAAGGAAAATAACAAAAATCTAAGTCTGGATAGCAGGTCCCCAGCCAAGATTTGAAACTGGGACCTCCAGAAAATGAATCAGGAATGCTACACATTCATCTAAAATGTCAGTGACAGTCGTGGTGTAGTGTAGTGGCTCAGGATTGGGATCAGCGGAGGGCTCTTGTGGGTAATGAACCTTTGGGTTCCATAAAATGCGGGGAAGTTCTTGAGTAGCTGTACAATTGGCGGTTTCTAAAGAAGGCCTCAGTTCATTTGCAATCTTCTCTCTAGTGTGGCTGGAAACAGGAAGGTCTCAACAATCTGAATATTAATATTTTTCCGAGCCTCCTGAAATTTTAAGAAAGTGTTAGTTACTTCATGGAAAATTCAATTTAATACAAATTAATTTCTCTGGCTTCATATTCAAGATGTAATGGGTTCAATTTTCATTCTGGAGGCAAATACCAGGTTAGTATCTGAAATTAGGTCATAACTACTTCTTTCCACACCTTTTCCAGTTAAGTATTCACTACCATCCAATTTTTATTGCATATTCATATTTAAGCTAAAGTTACATGTATATAATATATTTAATATATTTATATACATTTCATTAAATTATTAATAAATGAAATTGAGTGTATAGTATAACTTGCAAATTACAATGTATGATGTGTAACTATCCTTGTGTTAATAGGGACTGTAAATACATGTTACAAGAAAACTGAACAAATCATGGCAAGGTGTAGCAATAAGTCTGGAGTAAAGCATATTATTTCAGTACCATATCTTGATCTCAAGCATTTTTTTTCTAGTGGGGTGGAACTAAGTTCCTTGTACTGCAGCCACTTGTGGTGTATTGTACCAGCCCCAGATGAGAGGTGAGGGTGATTGTGGAGCAACTGGTGGAATGAAGATTGGCAGGGGAAACCAAAGTACTCAGAGAAAACCTGCCCCAGCGCCACTTTGTCCACCACAAATCCCACTTGACCAGACCCGGGATCGAACCCGGGCCACCATGATGGGAAGCCAGTGACTAACCGCTTGAGCTCTGGCGCGGCCCTTGGTCTCAAGTAAGAGCTGAAATCAAATAATGCATTTGCATAACATATATGTAATAACTAAATAGTACTGCCATTACAATTTCCGATTTATTACTGAATCCTATTTTCAGTATTCCATACTCCATTTCCCAGAACCCATTCACATGCTTTGGTCCAGGACATACAAGTAACATCTGGTGATTACTAAGAGTTTACTAACCTCGAATTGGGGTTTTAAGGTAGTTTGCAGAACTTAAAGCCTCTCCTAAGTAACGTTAATCTCATCTCCAAAGTGGTACACACCATTTCTACAAGCAAGATTCTGGCAGAAGATGGAAGAGTAGTCTTCTGGGTTGTAACACCATGCTGCTCAAAGACAGCCTGACATTCTGGAGGAGTATATTGCTCCCATCTTCCGGGCTGAACAGTAGACCAAGCAAGAAACCAGCAGAAGCAGGCAATAACCATGTGCACACATCCATGCATACCCACCCACCATGACACAAACTGCAATGTCTGTAAAAACTGAAATCCTGAAGATTGCTGCATATTCCTAAAAGCCCAAGTCATCCAGCTCCTAAAATCATGTTTACTTGCCCTTCAGATAATACAAGCAAAGTGTCCCTTTGTCTGAAAACATGCTTCAGCATGGCAAACTTGACTACCAAATTTTCTGAGCTCAATGCCATAAACTGTATTGTGGGCATATTAAAACCCTGCAAGTTGTTTGCATGTTATATTGCAGAGAAAATATCCTTCGAATTCTTCAGATAAAAACTTTGAACTGTCTTTTATTGTTCACATCCTCTTGTTCATTAATATATAGTACTATTATATGTACAACTGTCAACACAACAAATAAGTAATAAACAAAGCACTATTACTGTATTAATATTTGTTTATTATGTACATCTGCTACATTTTTCGATCCAGCTGGATCATCACGTACATTCGTATTGAATGTAATACAAGTGTACATTTCATGAATATTTTCCTGATGATGATCCAGCTTTCAATGTGAGTGTACATTTCAAGAATATTTGCCTGATGATGATCCAGCTGGATTGAAACATGTAGCAAATGTACATAATAGACAAATATTAATACAGTAATATTGATTTATTATGAATTTGTTGTGTTGACAGTTGTAAAATAGTACTATGAAAACTTCGACATTTAGTTCTAATGAGGCAGCAACACAGTTGCCCAAAATGTGGCAAAAGTCTGCAGCTGTTTACTAGTAATGAAGGTCGGAATATAAAGGTGTCCCATGAGGAAAGTTAAATATATTTGGATGTCATAATACGGCCATTCTAAGCAAAAAAAAGTGTCTATGTACACGTATCCTATTCCAAACAGTTTCCGAGATACAGCTATTTCACTGTACAGTAGTTTGGATCTGGCACCTAAAATTTTCCTTCCCTCCCCCCAAAACGCGCTGCAGCCCCTTCTCATACCTGACTTGTGATGCAACAGCTCAATGAGATTTTCCCAGATCGGTGGATCGGTCGTGACAGTACCAGTAACTGGCCACCAAGATCTCCAATCCTA